AGCACCCTCTGGTGGATGGCAGAGGGACTGGAGAGGAAGGCACAGAGAGAGGCAGCAGGCCCCTTACCTTGAATCCCGCACGTCCCGAGTGATGCGATAGTTCCAGTCTCGTAAAAATTCATTTTCCTTGTCGAATTCGCGTTCATCTTCCCCAATCGTTACTGTAAACCGTTTTTCTTCAAAATCGGGTTCTTGTTCTTTCCTCATGGTAGCCTTTTTCAGCACCTGGCGGGGGGAGTGGGCAGGAGCATTAGTTTCCCAAAGGGATGACGACATAGGCACAGCATCCCTCCCCAGCCTGACACCTCCAGAGGTATGGGGGCAGCAACTCCAGAATTCCCAAGTGGCACATCCAAAATGCCTGCACATCTGGAAGTCACTGGCTGGGAAAGCTGCATTGTGTTTTAGAATAATATGGAATTTTCAGATTAAGATTCTGAACACCTGGCCCCTTTTTTAGAACCACAAAGGCTGAATCTTACTTCTTTATGTTAGAGTTGCACAACGCACCTGGAAATAAACACGCTTTTTGTTTCCCCGACAGTTGACTTAAACAACTTTGAGGATGAATCTTGAGTACCATTCATTCAGCGCTATTGCAACTTCAGTCACTGAATGAGTGGTTGGTAAGCGAGGACAACCAATAAAGGGACTTCTCAGCCCTTCCTCTCCCCTGTTCTGCACAAGGAGCAAGAAGAACCAGCTTACCTCCTTTGCGTGTCGGAGGCCCCGTTCCCAGGCACTTTCTGTTGGAGGGTCGGGAGGTGGGGGAGGGAAGATTTCATCCACACCGGGCCCTCCCTGTTAAGAAAGAGGGGAGGAAGATTCCAATGATGTTCATTGTCACAAAGCCATCTTTTTTTACTCCAGAAAAGCTATCAGCTGCTAGGTGATTGGCCTCACTTTGCTCCTAGGTTGCCTGTAAGCAACTACAGTGTTTTCCACACGTGCAGCATGGCTCAGGTGGACTGGATTCTTAGTCCAGAAGAGAAACTGTATAAACACTGAAGTATCCGGCTTCCCTCTGCTCCAATCAGGGTTGCTTGTACAAGACTTCCAGTATCTCTGCTCTTCTATTATTAGACCCACAATGTTCTAGCACAAGATCCCCAAATGCACACCACGCTTATTACGTGGCCAGGTGGCCTGGCTCTGCCATCTCCTGCTCCTCCTGTAAGTCTTGTGCTCATTATCCATTTGAAACAAGGGGCGGTAGAAGAGACATTTAGCAACCATCCAGGGGTTTTGTTTTCCCCAAATTCTCATACCATAGATAGGGTCACAGCATCCTCAAATTCAGGCAATAAACACTGATACAATACTGTACCCAAGGGTTGGCTGGCATCAGAGGGTGAGGACCAGGGCCAATAGGAGGGGCACCATTAGAAGAGAAAGGAACTGGCTTGGTAATCAGAGAGTAGTTTCCTTTGTCATTCACACCAGGATGAATAAATCGGCAGTTTATGCCCCAAGTACAGTTCCCTATGGAGAAATAAGCAGAAGGGTTTAAAAAAAGGCTCAGACAAAACACACTTCACATAAACCGCAGGATACCTGTCTGAGAAAGTCTGTCAACACAGTGCAACCCTTTTCTTGCCTTGTCCTGTTCTTCAACCACTGAGTTATGTGAAGGAGATTCTTCTAGAGAATTGTTTGGTTTATTTAAAGAAATTGTATTCTGTACTTCAAATCTTTTCCTTGCACGGCTTGCACTATGAACTAAAACAACCGAAAAAAAGACTACATACAAAAAAAATATATATTCAAAAATTGAAACTGCAGCACAAATCGCATGAGAACCAAAGAACCACACCAAAGATTTTTTTAAAAAAAAAATGGTTGCCACCCAAACAATCAACAATGGCAATTGTGCTAAATTCATGTCAATCAAAATAGTTGTGTAATGCTGATAGCTATACTACGTTTCCATATGCTGAGACAGTGTTACTGGATGAGGGTTACTGTCTTTAAGCTCCATGTTTGAGCTTCTTTAAAGCATTTGAATACTGAGAGATTTCGGTGTAAGCATTTTGGTGTAAGGTGACCTCTGACAGCTAGAAACCATCTAAGGAACAGAGGAGAAGCCACAAGATTCTGGGGGGTGGCTGTCCAAGAAACGGAGGTTCCTTGCTGTTGCTCGGGAGGGACACAATTGGCTTTAATGTGTACCTTTCACAAAAAAACGGCAGGTAAGACGTGGCCTCATTTTTCTGTCATTGGGATCTTTCACTTCTCCCTCCTCCAGGTCATCATCCTGAAAGACAGAGAGAGACAGGAACTCAGAAGGCAGAAGCCGCAATGACAGCAAGCCTTCAACCTCGAGAACTGGAGCAACCCAAAAAGATGAGAAACCAGAGAAGGAAGATGGATTCCCACAGCCCACGTGCTCCTCAACATGTGAATGGTTATAAGAGGACACTCACATTTGATCTCCCCAACTTCTTCTGATGCTCCTTGCTAGCATTCTCTTCTAACCCTCTACGCTCAGGCTTTTGAAAATGGTCAAGCAGAAAGTTGGCATTTTGGTTTCAAGGCCAACTTGGTCTTCCTTTCAGAACTCTCCTCAGTCCAACCACTGAGCAATACGCCTTTCTTGCTCTCATTCTGCAGGCTTAACTGTGATAACATCAGCACCACCTACCCTTAAAAGACTCAGCAGACGACTTAACTCATCTTCAAAAAGGTGAAACAGATCTTGCAACATGGGGTAGGATAAGTAAGCATGGAACTGAAAGCTAGCACTAAGAAAATGGAATGTTCTTTGCAACAACTTTCTAAATTGATATTGGAGGCCTCAGATAATAAAATGCTGATGCCATTTCTCCAGAATCTGTGCCAATCTAAGAATTTAGCCCCTGCAACAACCAATGATGTCAATGAAAGTCATGCTTTCCTTAAGCACTTTCAGAGGGAATTACATTGTTAGAAGAAACTTTTTGATTTCCGAATAAGATAGATATTAACTATCATCTGGCAGGAAAAGCTGTGGTTCAGAGCTTCTCGGCCATGTCAGCTAATCTGCACTTGGCTTCCTTGTCCCTTCCTTCTTCAAGTATGCATCACAACAAGTCTCCCTCTTTTCTCCTGGGAGGAAAACAATTCCTGCTTTGCAACCTCAGATGTTATCTGGGTATCTACAGGGCTCTTAGGACCACCCCTTTCCAAACCAGACCAAGGGCACTTGCCAAGCTGGATGTCTATGAAATGACAGGTCGTTCTACTGCCATCAGGGGCTGAGCTTGATCAGTAGAGTGATAGAAAATGGTGCCAAGATTCAGCAACTGCTCCCAGGATTCTGAACGCAAATGGCTACGTGCCAAAGAATTAGAGCAGCTTCCCAATTCTTGCAATGGTCATACTGTGGAAAGTTTGGCAGTTGAAACCTATGCATTGGAGGGTGCCTGGTTTGAGAGAATTAACTCCACCCCCAACCTTTGGCTCTGCTTGTTCCGAAGCATTTGAGGTTTATAGCAACTCAAGGGCTTTTCTGAGAAATGAGGTCAATAACATAACACCCCCCCCCCCACCCCACCAGCTTTTCATAACCCAAACTGATCAGCAACTTCTTGCACAGAAGCAATGCAAGTCTTTCATTATTATGTTGCTGATTCTTCTGAGTAGTTAAAACATTTATGACGTAAGGAAATGGCTAGATTTGAGTGACCCAGCAATGTTGTGCTTTTGGAATAAGCTGGTGCACGTCTAGATCCCACTTGAGAAAACAGCCCTTTATCGACCTTTCTGTATTGCAAAGGGCTATGGGGACCCGTTTTCTCCCAGGGACACTCTTGGTGGGGAGGAGGGGGAACGCAGAAGGGACCTGAACTTACATCAATCTCGCCATCATCAATTTCTCCATCTTCTTCCTTCTTCTTCTCCTTGGGAGGCTCCTGCCCATCCTTCTCATTGTTGCTTTTGGGGGTAGGCTGTTTTTCATCTCCCAGAGGCTCGTCTCCTTTTTCTTCTTCCTCCTCCTCCTCCTCCTCCCCCACAGCCTTGTCAGCCTCATCGTCTGCAGGAACAGTGCTAGGCTCCTCGGGAACCTCCTCATCATAATCCAGTTCATGCTCATCCAGTTCCCGAATGACCGAGGAGGCTTCATCACCCAGGTCATTTGCCCCCTCTTCCACTTGCTCAACACGCAGGGAGGACTTGAGTGGTTGGCTTTGATCATTATGATCAGAGTCCGGAGACTTGGTTTCACTTAAACGCTCCTCTTCCTCTGAGGGAAGGCCTTCCTCCTCCCCATGGCTCAATGTTCTAGTTGCCCGATCTGCACCTTTTCCCAAAAAGGCACCCTGTCCTTCCTCCCCATCCTGCTCTGAACTACTCCCTTTCAGGATTTCATCATCAGAGGGCTGGTGGTCATCCTCCTCTTCGTCTTTCTCACTGGGAGAGTGGGGGTTTTGCTCAAGTGTTTCAGAAACATCCATCAGGACCCACTAGTCTGGAAGAGAGAAAAGGCTCAGATTAAAAAAAGGACAAAAGTGGATTCATAGCAGCTTCTTAACTACAGATTGTTAAACTGTCACGTCAACTTTTTTAGCTTGCAATGCACTTCACCACCCCATATTTCAATGCTGGCCCACGAAAGTAAAAGAGCGTGAATGAGATTCTCAAAGAAGAGCTGTTTTGTAGTATCTAAAGGCCAAAGTAAATCAAAAACATTGACAATTGTTTCCTGACAAGATTTTAACTTTTTAACAGAAACTGTCCATTTCTGATCACAAATGAAGCAATCTATCTATAAATTAAAGTAGCAAGAGGGAGACAGACGCGCCCCTCCTGCAGCCAAGTTAAGAATGCACCCCATCACCCTGTCAACGCAAGCAGAGGACCATAGAATCCATCATCCCCTACAGTCCATCCAATGGAATATAGTCCCACAGACCTTGGAAGAGACCACAGTTCCAGCATCGCCCACCCGCTTTCCAGATGGGTCAAAAGGCGGATCCCCCACCCCAGTCTCGTGAGGAGCTCCGCCCCACCGGCCAAGGAGGATGGGAGGCGCAGGCCGAGACCGCAGCCCCCGCCCGGGCAAAGGTGGCCCCTGGGCTGCACCCGGCCCTCCCCGGCCCTCGCCTTCGCGGGATCGGAGCCAGCCCCGAGCCCATCCGGCCTGGCGGGCTGCAGGGGATGGGAGTTGTAGTCCGGCGCCTGCGGAGGCGGTCATCCTGCGGCCCGCGGGTGCCCTCGAGGTCATGGCCAGCGAGACCCAGGGGATGGCTCTGGGGGCGCCGGGGCGTGGAGGCCGCAGCCCGCTCGTTCGCCCGGGGCTCGGGCCTCAGGCAGGGCCTCCCCGGAGGAGCAGCCAAGCGACAGGCAGCGACGCCCCCGGCGCCTCCCCTGAAGGCTCGATGCCGGCCCCGGCACCCCCGGCCCGTAAGCGGGGCCCGCCGCTCCTCACCTGGCCGAGCGGGAGGGGGTCGGGGGAGGGAGCGGGGAAGCGGCTCCGGGAAGCGGCGGGGCGCGCGACAAGGCCTCTACTGGCGGCAGAGCAGGGCGGCCATGGCGTGACGTCATGCACGCGCGACGCCGCCAGCGGCGGCGACGGCCTCCCACCTACTCAGCGCGCCTGCGCCGCCCGGGCAGCGCGAGGCCAACGAGGAGTGGGCGGGGCCGAGCCGCTTCAGGGAAAGTGACAGTCGGCGTGGCCCGCCCCTTACGAGCCCGTCTTAGCCAATCGGGAGACGGAAGGAGGGAGAGCGAGCGGGCGCCTGCGCACTCCGGGCTCGTTTCCCGGTTGCCGGAGAGACTGGCGGGTTCGGCGCCTTGTCGGCTGGGGGGGATGGGCTTTGTAGTCCGCTGGGTGTGTGCGTGTGTGTGTGGGGGGCGATGGGTTTACTGGTGCGACGGAGGGTGGCATCCAAGACGTCGTCTGAGCACGTGCAGAGCGCCTGGTTTCCTTCCCGGGCAGGAGTCGAGCCCCCCCCCCAGCAGCCCCTCCCTCGGGCCTCAGGGAAGCCTCGGCGCCTTCTCCGCTGCAGCTGCTCCGACCGGCCGTGGGACAACGAAGCCCATGCTCCGCAACCCGCCCCTTCCCGGCGAGAGCGGAATCAGCCGTAGCCGCATCGTTGAGACCAGGGGTCCCCCAGCCCGGCAGCTTTAAGGCTTCTGGACTTCAACTCCCAGAATTCCCCAGCCAGCAATGCTGCGCTAAGCTACGCCAGCTACGATGGCTGGAGAATTCTGGGAGTTGAAGTCCAGAAGCCTTAAAGCTGCCAGGCTGGGGGACCCCCATGCCGCTTCCCAGGCCCCTCTAAGCGCTGGACAGAGCCAGCCTGCCGCCCCCCAACAATCGGGGCCCTGGACCCAGAATCCGCTGCCCTTGGGATCTGCTCCGGGGCCAGAGCCGGGATCCCCACCCGATCCCTTTAGTGGCCGCAGGCGGACCCCGGCGGAGGCGAGGAATCGGGGCAGCCCCTCCGGCCTCTTTGCTCCCTGCCCCGTGCGGGGTTTCCGCCGCGCTCCCGGCCTCCTCCCCACTTGCCCTCCATGGGGTCAAAACGCGGATCCCGTCCCGTTCCCCGCCCCCCCCTCCGCGACCCTGGCCAGAAGGAGGAATCCACGCAGGACCAGCAAGTCCCGCCACCCACATCTGCCTTGGAAAGAGATTTCAAAGGACCCGGAGCTTCGTTTCTGATGTCCCTCCCTGAGCTGCTCTGCATAGAAAGGACGCTATTTGCCGGTTATGAAATTGAACAGAAGAGGGAGCTCAGACCCAGCAGAGTTAATGCTCAGAAGCCTTCCCTATTCTGGGCTGAAATGTTCGCTGCAGAAAGCCCCATAAAAGAAACATTTATTCTGTGGGGACAGAGGAGGTCAGTTGGCTACAGAGATTCCTATGGAAGAAGCATCGGCCATAAAAATTATGGCAGTGGGCCTCGGTGAAGGCATAGGCCAGTCGCTATTCATTCCTAGTCTGCTAGTTTTAGTTCAATTCTTTGTATAAATAACTCAAGGCAGTGTACATACCTAATATTTCTTCCTCTTCCTGTCTTCTTCACAAGAACCCTGTGAGTTAGTGTGGGTTGAGGGGGAAGGAATGGCCCAAAGTCACCTAGCCAGCTTTCATGGCTAAGGCAAGACTAGAACTCACCGCTTCCTGGTGTCTAGCCTGGTGCCTTAACCTCTAGGCCAGGCAGCCGTTTGCTGGCATTTGGCCCTCATTTCTTTAAACACCTTGGGGGATCAAACAAACATCTGGAGGTATGAGGGCAAGATCCCAAACTTTGAATCTGCCACTTAATGGTGTTTGTAATACATTACAAATCCTGTTTTCTGGAAATCGTGCAAGGCATCATTTCTTTAGACAAAATAGAAAACGACAATGCTTAGTTGGAGAAACATGTTTTGGGGTGAACCCCTGGCTTGTGCTTGTTACCCAAATGTGAATCTAATGACTGTCAAAGTACAATGTGGCACTTGATTGATGGTGAATACCTAAGTATTTATAAATGTGAGAACCTTCATTAATATAATATCTATTTTAAGACTGTGATTTTATAGAGACATTCCTAGAAGAAAAACACCATAAACCCAATGAAATTTATTTCAGAATGAGCTTTCTATAACCCTGACCTTTCCCCCAAGTATAAAACGTGTAGGTAACACTTACTTCTGGTTTGCCATTTTTAAAAAGTAGATTTTCTAATTCTTGCAAATCTTCTAAGGCAAGTTCCAGGTTTTTCCCCCTCATCGGAAAAGGATGTACTGTACAACGTGGGAGCAGTGGTATCTTCAAACTGAAGCAACAAATCAAAGATGGCCTGCTGAGAATTATCTGCAGGTCTCCTCACGAAATGAACAGAAGCTGAAATGATCATTTTTTTGAGGGGAAAGAATCCATTATACATTAAAGGAAGAGACCCAACATTGCTGGGTTTGAGCTGGAGTTCCTGTGGCATTTGTTTCATTGGCCTGAAGTGCAGAACAAGAGCTGGAAGTACGATTAGAATTTTTTTCATGAAATTCATATATAGAGAGTGAACTTCTGCACTGGGTGACAGGGAGATACTTTTGCAGAACCTGAAAAGAATGCTGATAGCGTATCAGTTTTGGAAGACAATACCTCACTGCAATTTTTCTCTGCATTCTTTCAATTTTAGCCTTCCAGCTGACAGCAGGAAGGTCACCAGATACAAGATATGAAAATGCTTCTTAATTTAGATACTCCCTCTTTCCCCCCCCCCAGTAGATTTATTTGTTAAATTTATTTGCTGCCCACCTTATATGGAATGTTCAGTTAAGAGATATGGAATAGGCCGAGTCTGGGGAACATGAGACGGCAAAGGAGGGCCGCCTGCCAGCTCCAGATGGTCTTAGTTGCTTTGTTTCAGAGGGATAGTGGGATGCTCATTTTCTTGAGCCAAAACCTGTCCACATCTGGCACAAGGAAAGCACAAAGGTGAATCATTTTCAAATTAGGCAGGCCATCCCTTTCATATATCATTCTTCTTATCCATCCGTCCATCCCTCTTATCAAGTGAGAGAGGGGGAGAGAGATAATTTCACATGATTCCCCTTAGAACCTTCTCCCTAACTCGCTCAGAACTCCTCAGTCATTTTCCATCTTCATTGGGCCAAAAGTCTCTCGTGTTAGTCAGATGGGCAGCATATAGATTTAACAAAATGAACACATAAATACATACATTCTACCTGGGCTGAACCATTTACTAAGAGGGAAGAGGTGAGGACAAAAACTAGCTTCCTAAGACAGAGTTGCAGGATCCTACAGGTAGCAAGTCTCAAGTGTGGGCATCGTGCCCAGCACTAAGAAGGACATTGCAGAAGTCTGAGGGAAGCAGAAGTTTCCAACATGGGTGGTTGCTGGCCTCTTTCAGCACCTCCCTTCATGGACAGCACCAGAGTTGGCATTCCCTGGCCGCTTTGGTCATTGGGAGATGTCTGCCCCCTGCCTCCCACCTCACATGGACATCTCAACAAGGAAAAAAAGTAAAACCCAATGAAACTCCTTCAACTGTTGCTTCAAAAGCGTGACTTGAAAGTACTCCCTTTGAGGAAGAAGAATTAGAAATTCTGGAATGCTTGGCTCACTGTTAAGAGCAACAAGCCCTACCCAGCATTACATAGAAAGTTATGTATTCTGAATGCACAAAATGAAAGACTGTTGACTTTACCAATAAAGGAGAATATTTGTAGCTCAGGATTGAACTGAGGGGTCTCTGTTTGAAAACAACCAAGCTCGCATTTGAAACCAACTGAGCTTGCAGGGCACCAAGGACTCCTCTGTTGAATTCCCAAGTACTTCAGAACTTTTAACCAAAGGACCGGCATACTTTGGTATCATTAGGAGCAATTTTCTAACAGACCCATCAACAGCCTAGAGATGGACTTTGAGTGGAATGGAATGTGATCTAAAATTATTTTCAGGGCCCACGAAGAGCTTTAAGGGTCTCAAGCTTTAGGTCTTAAAGAATTTCAATGAGCTTTATCAAGTGAAAGTTTAAAAATTTCAAGATAACTTCTTGTGTTTAATATAAACATTTTATATAACGTTAACAGTATTACTTTTCATTTTAAATGATATACACCATTGGCCAAATATTGCCAATAATCATACTGCATCCGTTCCATTCAAATGATTGAGCTCCATTCATTTAAAACCAAGTTAGTATATGTGATCCTCCCTCTGAAAGTACACTCAGAAGTAATAAGTTTTCCATCTATAATTAAATCTCCAGTTCTAGAAAATCTTCTATCTTCCCATTTCTTGAACTGAATAAATTTATCCTCTTGCTTCAGAAGAGAAATGGTAAAAAAAAAAAAAAAAAAGAATGGACAAGACAGTAAGATCAGGAGGCAAAAGCTGCCACCATATTTTAAAGTAAATTTTAAATATGGATTTGAGATAGTAGATATTAATTTCTTAATGTCAAGGAGGAATTGCATCACCCAAACTGAGAGAGACCTCTGGGCTAACTCAGTCTGGTCCATCAACCAAAATTATTGACACTCAGTTGTTTAAGAAGAGCCAGAGCAAAATAATTCTTGCTCCTCCACTTTATTTACATCATGCGCGTAATAAAAAGTGAATTCACATAAAAAGACTAAGAGTTCACTTCACTCAAAACAAATTCCCAGGCTGATGATCTGACAATCAACGAAAGCTTACGTCAGGCATCCTTGCTGCTTTAATGCTGGGTTCACACACGAGACCTAAAGCAATGTCTGTTGACTAAGCCACAATGGGCTGGGATTCTAAACCAAGTTACAAGCCATATATCATCATTAAATTAAATCTTCTCATTGTTCCTATCACCCATCTCCTCCCACTTATGACTGTACGACTGTAACCTTGTTGCCGGTATCCTTACGATTTATATTGACTGTTTCCCTAACATAACATTGGCATCCTTCAGTCTCAAAAGACTATGGTATCGTGCTCTGGAAAGAGGTCCTAAAATAGCATCTAATGTGACTAAAAAGGCCAATTCGACAGTGGCAATCCCTTCCACACTGAGGGCAGATACATTCTGTCCCAATGTTTCCCCATGACTATCATTAAGTGTTGTACCTTATGATTCTTGATGAATGTATCTTTTCTCTTATGTACACTGAGAGCGTATGCACCAAGACAAATTCCTTGTGTGTCCAATCACATTTGGCCAATAAAGAATTCTATTCTATTAAAAGGCCAGGATGGCTGCATTCAGACATGCTAAACCTAAACCAAATAAGCCCCAGGATGCAGAATCAGTGTTACTAAACCAAGCCAAGCAGACTGCAAACCACATCATGGCTTAATCAAAGGAGTGTACCCTGCTGGCATTCTCTGCTCTTGGTTCCAGTTTGCATATTTTTATATCCTGGGGAGGAAGGTGGGGGTGGGGGACTCCCTAAGGATGATGCTGAATCCCACAAATTTCACCACGGAAGGAAATGGGGCCCCTTTTTATCAGCTTGCAAAATTCATCAGCCCAGAGAAAATTCTGCATGTAAGGATGGATCAAAATCCAGGCATTTCTCCCTTATGACACCCCCTAAAACATCTTCTGTCTAATCAGGCAATGTAGGCATACAAACCCAGCAGCAAAACGCTGGCATTGCTTTGATTTGCTGCCCGCTGTCTGATTGCGCCTCTCCGCAAGTTTGTGTGTGTGTGTGTTGGTTTTTGCAGGCAGTGAGAGGGTCTCTCCGCTTACAGGTTAGTGCCTGTGGAGGGGGCTGGATCAGCTGATGGGCAGCCCCCTGCATCCCTGAGCAGAACCAGCGGCACAGAGGAGCCGGAGGCAGCTGCTGTTAAGAGGGAGCTTTCTGGGCGCTGCTGCTTCTCCCCCAAAGTGGGGGGCGAAGGGGAAGTCATCCTTGTCTTCTCTGAATGGTTCAGAAGGCTCAGAAGAGGATGCATGAGAAAGGCGAGTTCTGCAGAAAAAGTTTGCTGGTGGCAGGAGGTAGGTGTGTGTGTGTTGTGTGTTGTGTTGTGTGTGTGACTGCAAAAGGGGGATATGAAGGCATCGCTTTGCGGAGAGTGTGCGTTTATCATCTTATCTGCCTGCCTCAAAAGACTACAAAGTCCATGACCCACTTTTCTCAACACCCAGCAGATTCCTGAGTTGGATCAGGGTCAAAAAGGTGGCAGGGGGGAAATTCTTGGTCCTTGTTGAGGAGGGGAGGCAAAGAGATTTCAAGGGATCTACCAGATCCCAAAGCAGGGCATCTGTTGGGCAGAATAGCTTGGGGAAAATGGTGAGCCTTGGCCACTTGGAACCCTTGTGGGGACCCTTTCCCCTTCGGAAGCTCCCCTTTCAGACCCCGGACGATTGGCTGCCTCTTCAGCAAGGCTGCTGGCTGAAGAAAGTTTCACTTATTTTTATTTTCAACCCAGCCCAGCCATTTTGCAGACCCTCTTCGTTAACCCGACTTGCTCCATCAGTTGCCCGCTAAACATCACAGAGCACCGTGGCCATCGTCCTTAACTTGGAGAGCCCTCCGTGGTAGGGAAGGTGAGGGATGGGAAGTGTAGTCACGACTTTAAAGGCTCCAGAAAACTAGGTTGTTCTGCTCTCCCCCTCCCTTCAGGAAGAAAAGGAAAAAAAAAAAGGGGGGGGAGAAAAGGAGCTTTAGGGAGAGCAGAGCTTTGGGGCAGGATTGCCAAATAGGCTTCATGGGGCTAAAAGGTTTGGCAGTCGCTGCCTGCGCTTCCATCTGCTCCTGCAAACAACAGCTGGATTTATGACTGGAAAGCCCTCAAATGTGAAACGAGGGACATGATCGCTCTTCCTTGATTCCGGCAGTGCTGATGCCTTCCAAAACCTCACCCAGACTAGACACAGGGACGGTCTCTGGCCTCCCCCCATGACATCATTCTGCTGAACCCCTAATTCCCACAGCTCAACCTAATGTCTATGCTTATTAACCCATATAGGGTGGCTGTAGTGTTATCATTTCTCCTTCTTATCTTCTTTACTTCCTTATTTTATTGGGACAATGGTGGTGATGATGATGATGATGGTTCATCATACAGTCAGCCAGATGTTCAGTCTGGGTTTGGCACTTATATTGAGTCCTTCCCATAGACCTGGGATAGGCAGATGTGGACATTTGATGGAGTTACAGATCTCATCTCAGGATGGAAGCTGTTCCAAGTAAAGCTGCCTTTTGTAATTGACCGATGGCGAATTTGTCAATGGTGTTCCAGTGGAGCTCCAGTTGTTATTATTACTGTCTCTGTTGCTTTGCATGGACATTGAGCACCTCTGTACCGGAGACAAATTCCTTGTGTATCTAGTCACACTTGACCAAATAAAGTGTTCAATTCAATTTAATTTAATTCAGTTTAGTTCAGTTCAGTTTGGTTCAGTTCAAAGCATCCCTGGAAGGTACAGTAGGATAAAATCTAAACCAAATAAAAATAATGCCAGGGTAGAATAAAATATTCCAAGAGGAACCCCAAAGATACAGTTACTACTGCCGGGGGCGGGGGCGGGAGCTGTTCTCCCTGCTTTTCTTGAAATGACCAGTCAGTCAGTGGAAGGCCACCCTGGGTTTTCCAGCTGCCTGAAACTTTTGTAGGGGTTTGCACATTGATTTGGGGATGCTGGAAGATAGCATGAAAATGAGGTTTAAGACAGGAGCCTTCCCCCCCTTCACATTTCTCTTACACACCCACTCTTTGACACTCACACACAGAGCAAGGAAGGAGGGCGTCTAATAAGAGCTGTCAATGATTGAATGCTTCCAAATTGGTCAATTATCCCACTTTAAATGGATTAATCCAATCATTAGCCAATTACTTTAAATGCTTGAATGCACTGCAAAAAAAGAAAAGGAAAGAAAGAAAAGAAAGAAAAGGCTGAGGAATGTGGATGTGAGCATCTTAGTGGCAAGCTTTCCTTCCCTGCAGAAATAAATTCATGGGAACCTGGAAGATCTGGAAGGACAAAGGGGCCAGGAGGGATATTGGGACCTGTGGCCCCCAGATGTTCCTAGAGTCAGAAGGGAAGAATGTTGGGAATGAATGATTAGCACCATTGGGAGAACTACATGTTTCTCACCTCTGTTTTAGGTGATTTTTTTTTTTTTACCATTTTTGTTTTAATTTGTTGCTAACATTTGAGAGCATTCTGAAACCAGTTGTGATTGAGGCTAGGTGGATGAGTACATGCAAGGGACGTTGTACTTGTGTGCTCACATCTGCTCAACAGGTCCCTAGGACTTCCCTGTTTAGCCAATGGAGACCTCCAATGGTCTTGATGGGAGAGGAGAGCCCTTGATTCAGGTTTCATCAAACCATTTTTTTTTATCCTCCCAGGCAGTGTCTTGCTCTAACTTTGGCCATGGAGAACTGCAGCAACAGCAAAGTAGACACCCCAACCAACATCTCCTTGGGGGTTGGTGGTCTCCCATTCAGCATCTTTGAATACAAGACCATATCAGTCTTCCTGGTGCTTGCCATATGTGGAATTGGCATTATTGGAAATGCCATGGTGGTCACTGTAGTTCTGACCACCCGTGACATGAGGACTCCGACCAACTGCTACTTGGTTAGTTTGGCTGTGGCTGATCTGATCGTTCTGGTGGCTGCTGGCCTGCCCAACATCTCTGACAGTCTGGCAGGAACATGGATCTATGGATTTGCTGGGTGCCTTGGCATTACCTACTTTCAGTACCTGGGCATCAATGCATCTTCCTGGTCTATCACAGCTTTCACTGTGGAAAGGTAAGGGTAGATTTCAGTAAATCATCTTGTCCTCTATTCGGCATCCTTCAGATGAGACAGTCCTCAGAATTTCAGCCAGCATGGCTCAAAGCTGGGAGTCTGGGAGTTGTAGACCTAACCAACCAGGAGATTGTCAGGCTGATTGTCTGGAGTGTGTGTGAAGAAGGAGAGAAAACATTCATTGTCCTTCAGACACAAGGAACCCATAGGATAGGATGGACTTATGCAACAGTTACATTGATCTGTTGATTCTTCTAGATCAGGGCTGTCCAACTCCTGGCCCATGGGCCAGATGTGTCATGTGTTGGCCATGCCCACCTGTTTAGTGAAGGTGAAAAAAGTCCCGATACATCACATGACGCTGCCGTGATGACGTGAGTTTGAAACCCCTGTTCTAGATAAATAGTCACTCAATACCTTCTGTTATGGCCTTCAATGGCTCCTAAGACCTTCATTCTCTTAGATCAACCTTCTTCAACTTAGGTTGACTACAACTCCCCGACTTCCTACTCTGAAGAAAGCCTCTGTTCTGCTTGGCAATAGCTTACCTGGGTCTCTGGGAGCTTTTCCATCACCTGTATATGATCCTTCTATCTGGAAATGGTGCAAATTGAAGAAGGGGCCTTCTGAAGGCCAGGTAGAAACTCTCTTCTGAGCTATGAATGATGCTCCCTGAATGTGTTTGTGCAAAGAACTACATAAGAGATAGCATCGTTTGCGAGTTGCCACTCAATGGCCCTTTCTGCACAAGGCAGGAAGTGACCGAAACAAAGAAACCAACATAACGGTTCTTGCTAGACGGAGGTGACTCTTCCTGCTGTGTTCACCTCCTTTCAGGTCACCTCCTTTCTTACAACCCTCTCTCTCCTTCCTCTCTTTCCCAGATATATTGCCATCTGCCACCCAATGAAGGCGCAGACAATGTGCACCGTGTCTCGAGCCAAGCGCATCACTGCATTTGTCTGGATCCTCACCTCGATGTACTGCATGCTCTGGTTCTTCCTGGTGGACGTGGCTGCGAACAACAGCCAGCAGTTGGAGTGTGGCTACAAGGTCTCCCGCAACCTTTACCTGCCCATCTACCTGCTTGACTTCACCCTCTTTTTCATCACCCCTCTCCTGCTCACCACTGTGCTCTATGGCCTCATTGGAAAAGTCCTTCTCCAGAGCCATGCCCTGCACCAACCCCCTGCCCAAGGGGAATGCTGGCGAGAGCGAAGCAACCAGGAGAAAAATGGCACCGAGGTTGGTCCTCGCAGAGCTGGAACCAGAGTGCCTGTCTCTTCCAGGAAACAGGTGGGCAGACATGGTTGAGTTTCCAGGGTCCATTTGGGGCAGCGGGGGGGGGGGGACATCAGGAAGGTTTGTGATGTTCACCCTGTAAGCCAGAGTTTCTCAACCTTGACAATTTTAAGACATGTGGACTTCAACTCCCAGAATTCCCCAATCAGCCTGGCTGGCTGGAGAATTCTGGGAACTGAAGTCCACACATCTTAAAGCTGCCAAGGTTGAGAACCACTGCACAACTGCAATAAGAGGTAGCACTTGAGAAGGCCATCTCTGTGCAGGGCAGTGGTGAAATCCAAATTTTTTTACTACCGGTTCTGTGGGCATGGCTTGGTGCGTGTGGCAGGGGAAAGATATTGCAAAACCTCCATTCCCACCCCACTCTGGGGCCAGCCAGAGGTGGCATTTGCCGGTTCTCCGAACTGCTCAAAATTTCCGCTACCGGTTCTCCAGAACCTGTCAGAACCTGCTGGATTTCATCCCTAATGCAGGGGGTCCTTTCACCCTCACCATTTGTAGATGTCCATGTAAACATAAATCATCTGTCATTCCTCTTGAGTACAACTGAGTAAGCTGAAGTATTAGCCAATTTCTACTCAGGTCTTCTTGGCACTCTGGGAATAGCCATCGCTGGACAGATGCTACCATGTGCTGTGACCAAAGGCCACATTGCATTGGTCTTAAATTTCAAAGCTTGACATGCCACCTTCCCTGGCCTCAGGGCTAGCCTTTCAAAGCTGTGTCTCATCTCTGAAGCCCTCTGAGCTCCTTCTTTTTCCTCCAGGTCACCAAGATGTTGGCTGTGGTGGTGGCCCTCTTTGCCCTGCTCTGGATGCCCTACAGGACCCTGGTTTTGGTGAACTCCTTCGTGGAGCACCCCTACCTGGACCGCTGGTTTGTCCTCTTCTGCAGGATCTGCATCTACACCAACAGCGCCATCAACCCCATCATCTACAACCTCATGTCCCAGAAGTTCCGTCTGGCCTTCAAGAGGCTTTGCAAGTATAGGGAGGAGGAACTTCAGCGGCAGCGTAGCTTTTACACAGCCTCGGGTGATGACAGCACCAGGAAGGCCGGCCCCATCAGCCAGCAGGCCAGCCACAAAGTGGGGAGGCTGGCTGGGACCCCCAGAGCAGAGGCTGATCAACAAATCCTGAGCCAGAAAGAGAAGGAGATGCAATTTAGCTTGCTTTGAAGGCTCCAAGGTCCTGCCTTTTTATTTTGTCACACCAGAAACTGACTTTGTCTCGCCCAGCACAAGTGGGTGCCTTTGAGGAACTTGCAGGCTTCAATTTTATGGACTTTTTGAACAGGAACCCCCCCCCCCAATTTAAGGGACAATTGGGCCAAACCATCCCCTGAGTTTGGCCAAAAGAGGGAAGCTGGGGAAGAACCTTCAGGATCTCTCTTTTTGAGAGCCCACATCAGTTCAGGTGACTCTCCAAAGTCCACCAGCATGGGGGGGAGGGGCACCTTTTTCTGGAAGAAGACTGTGGATTCCTCCAGAACAAGGTAGGAATTTGGAGCGGAGCCTTCTCCAGCCGTACTGGAGCAGCCCCTACTGGTTGGGAGGGCAGGACCTTGGATGCCTTTCAAAGCAGGCCAGGCAGAAGGAGAGATAAAGGCCTCCAGATTTAGCATTCATAGCAGGGAATGATGGGGGGGGGAGTCTTTATCTCCATGCCCTGGTCATGCCCTTCACCAAGGTGCTTTGATGCCCAGTGCAAGAGTCAAGAATGCTGTGCAAGATGGTCTATTTATCTGATACACCAAGCCTTTTATTACCTTTTACTTAACTTCAACTGTTGGGCATTGGTAATGAGCAAAGGTAAGTTTCCATGGCTGGAGTGTTTCCGTAGTCCAACTTCTATGCCCCTCCCCACTTCCTTCTTTCCTTTGGTGAAGATCAAAATGTTGGTCAAAGGACGGACTTCCCTGTGTCCTCATCCATTTCGTTTGAGCAGATGATCTGTGAGCACAAATTGTTAGAATAGCCAGAATAGAATGCTGGGGTTATATGTACGTATTGCATTTCTAAGTGTATTAAAATGTCAGCATGATTTGAGTGCTCTGAGACGATCACCTTCCAAATTAATGTAAAGCAAAGTCTAAAAGGTCCCTGACGCTTCATAAAATTCTAACCTCCAATTCTGCAAAATCAAAACAGAATTAAGCTACCAGACTGGAGCTCTCATTCCTTCAGAAGCCACGATAGGTAAAATCTGTCTCCTGGGCATAATTGGAGAGGGGGGGAAAAGCGACTTATTTTTGCTTCCTCGCCAAAAGGAAAATGCTGCCTTTTCCGGCTGAGTGCTGCTTTTCATCCTCCGGCAAATATGCTTAATTGAAAAGGTAGAAAGCTCTTCCATCTTGCTTATGGTACCATGCCCACAAAGCATGCAAAGTGACTCCCCTTGTGTGTTTTTCTGCAGAAAAAAACTCTGGGTGCCGTTGACGGTTTTGCCTGTTTCAGGCTGATAATCCAATTCCGCACTTGGTTTCGAGTGAAGTCAGGATCACAGTGGCAGCCAAGCCATATTGCAGGAAAAAAATCCACAGAGAGGTGACAAAAAGGAAGTCAAGGAGAAGAAAGGGAAGATTTGTTTTTTTTTTAAAGGGAGCTTTTGCAAAATTTCACCCATGTGAGCAAAAGAATCTTTGTGAGAAAGCTTTTCTGGGAATTCTGACGCAAAACATACTTTTTGAGATATTATTAAAATGGGCTTCCCGTTATATGAATGAGATATATAATTAGTCTGACGCACACATTTTTTCCTACCATTATTTTAACAAGCAGCCTCTCAGCTTCGAGAGGAAATGATCAGCACTTCAATAGAACCATATTTTGTAGCTAACCCAATGCAGAGCTTCTTCTGAATTAAGGGATGAAAGAATATCTTGTCTTGTGACACTCTAGGAAAATCTCTGGACAGCTTCAGAAGGAGTTCAGAACAATCCTTTTTACTTGGGAAAATTGTGCATCATTCATTTTGGGGAAACCTTTTAAAACTGGCACCCACTGGGAGAGAAATAAGCTCTCCAACTTTGCAGAGAAGGATGGGCTTTGTATCTGTCTCCATGATCAATAAATCAAAAGTGAAGTGGAATATTTTATTTGTTTCCAAATTAATGCCCCATTCAATTAGGAAATGTCCATCAATAAATTAAGTTATCTGGGCCAATTTCGGTGCGTTTAGTTGTTCATTCTAAATTCACTCCTGGTGATCCAAAGGTCCTGATTTGAGAAGCGCAAGAAGTATGACTTTTCTTTCTTTTATTGATTTTGTTTCAGCATCTCCATCTCTCTTTTTTAAATTTGTGCCCATCATAGGAGGTGACTGCTTTCAAATGCTAAACCCCAAAAGGAGGAGTCCAACGGTTCTCCTTAAAACAGGGGTCTCCAAACTTGGCAACTTGCAGACTTCAACTTCCAGAATTCCTCAGCCAGCCTTAGAAAAAAGGATGTGTCTTATTGAACAGGACTCTGTTCCACCAGCAGATGTGATGGCCGTTGGCAAGAGATTTGTTGTAGTTAAGTCAAATCCAAATTTCCTTTTTTAAAAAAATAGCTGGACTCAACCTAGACCAAGGGTGGACTTCAACTCCCAGAATTCCACAAGTCGTAAAGTTGCCATAGTTGCCTGCCCCCCCACCCCCGAGCTAGACTCTGCATCAATGTGAAGAGACACCCATGCCCAGAGTCCGTTCAATCATTAGCATTCCACCGGTGCTCTCATAGTGGCGTTGAATCCACCTATGGATCCTACCTACCCAGATAACCAAATGGGGCTGTGGAGAACTCCAGCAGTGAGCTACCAACAACTCTGCCTAACCTAATCTGACAGCTTTCAGCAGCTGGGACTACATTGCCCATCACTCCCAGTAAGAACAGGAGTGAAAAACAGACCCATCTGGAGGATGCAAAGTTAAGGAAAGCAAATTGCGTATTCCCCTGATGTGGAAGTCAGAAAGGTTGCCTCTGTTGTGATTTCACCCCCCACTTACTCAATGCTGGGTCTGCCCTGCAAATCTTGTAATAAATGGTAAAAGTGACAGGATTTGATTAATGTCTGCCTTCTTTGGAAAGAGATAGAGCTCTGTTGACCTTCAGCAAAACCTGGAGGTTCATGTGCAGCCTCTCCCTGTGCGTACCCGAGATCGGTCACCCTTCTCATCACCCAGCTGCCTCTCTTATTAGACTTTTCTAATTGAATTTAGAATAAACTCACTCATTGCTTGCACAAGAAATAATGGGAAATCTTCAGAGACCCGGCAGCAACTCCGCCATCCCATTCGCTGGCTTAAATTGGGTCCTGGGAGTATTTAAGAGGAAAAATAAAATCGGCCTCACAATAACCGAAAGCTTTTCAGGTAGAGAATAAAAGCTGGACGGTGCCCTTTGCCTGGCTGTTTTTCCAGCAGATCAAATTACAGGAATAATAGCCGGGGCTTAAACCTGCGAGTGGCATTCAGGGCTGCTACCTCTGAGTGGCCCAGGCGCTGAGGCTTTGTTCTGCTCCCTTGATAGGGAACCTGTAGAGAAAATCACTGTTTCCATTTTAAAGACAGGAAAGCAAAGGACAATAGAAGGGCAGGTTTTAGTCCCTCAGAACAGCCTTGATGAGACCGGCTCCTGCCTGCTCCTCAAACTAAGGTAAGAAAAAGCAAGCAAGCAGCATTTTCAATCTAAAACTCCAAAGAGAGGAAATGGGATTTAGCCATTTGATTAAATTTTCATTCCAGGAAGACCCCAAGTCTCTCGCTCACAACTGCTTCCTGCAAGTTATTCTTCCTTTCAGAGCAACTGTGGAAAAATCTCAGGACCTCAATGCATCAAATATATTTACAGAACCATTAGCGGGGATATAGAGAAAGGGAGAAAGAAGCAATTCAGGTCCAAGAGAGTTATAAACTGATTTTATGGGAGGTTGAAAACCACTTTGGGAAATATATTGGTGCTCTCAGCATGCCGGGTTAATTCGAGGATGGCAGCCTGCCTGAACATTCAGACTGGGATGCCAGGTAAACATTCCAGGACAAGCCAATCATAAACCTCTTATAGAAAGCTGCCAAGAAAGCTACATGGATGGAATTGAGCAGGAAGGAGGCAACGGTGAGCTTCCACTGGCAAAATCCTGCCCAGAAAACTTCAGGGATTCATCCAGGGTCTCACCAGGAGTCAACACTAATTCGAAGGCATAAAAGCCCCAACAACAACATGGTGTGAGATGGCAAATGAAATAGTCCATATTAAGGGGGGGGGGGAAACAGGGACCAAAGTCAGGCAGTGCTCATAGAAAAAAGAACTAGAGTTAGGTTTTTGTGATGAGGGTGTAAGTGGAAGTCAGTGGAAGATCTTGACAAAATTTGTGGCTGGTGGCTGCAAAAGGCAAAATTCTGGGTTACTGTCCATGGTCCTGAAAGACAAAATGGAGTGGGGGTGGGGAGAAAGGATTTGCATTTTCTGGTCCCAGGTGTTATTGCATTGGGTTATTCTTTTTATTTTTCAAAAAAAAAAAAAATTCCACCTCTATTTGCTTGGCTGGGTAGCAATAAAGAACTTATTTTTTCTCTGCAAGGCCCATAGTTAAAAAAGAAAAGGGAAAAATAAATGCAGATGCTTTCAAAAGAACGGCAGGTGAGCCCCTGGCAAGATTGCTTTGGAATTCATAAACATTTGGCATAAAGAGCTGAAATTTTCGAAACGCAGGGGAGCCAGGATTGAATAATTAGGGATGGAGGCTTAGAATCTTCCCCAGTCCCAGTTCACAGCCTGAGTTAGATCTGTGGAATTACATACTTTGGAGCCAGGCCCTGTGACCCCTAACTAGTGGGATGCTTGCAATGCCCTCCCTCCCTCCCTCCTCAAGCTCGGATTGCCCCATGGAGGGCTGCAAGACCCGTGGCATTCATGCCAGGGAGTGAGCCTGCTGCTGCTGCCCACAGATCCCCGTTTGCTCTCTGTGCTGCTAAATCTGGTGGCAGAGTCATCCCTTGTGAATCATGCAGATTAATTCAGTGCTGTGGGGAATTCTGGAGCGCTCGGTCTGCCTCAGAGCTGAGCAGGCCCAGGAGGAAAGCCTCCACATGAGACAGATACCCTGACAAGGGCCATCTGCAAGACAAACCACCAAGAAAGGCTTTGGGGAGCCAAAGAAAGACTGAAGCTGTTGGGGAATCATGTGCAACCCCCCCACTCAGCATCTGAGGCAGCTGGCTTCATTTCAAGGACTTGGGGGGGGGGACATACATTTAAATCTCATCAGTGGCGATTCCATAAATGGCTTTTTAAAGAGTTTTTGTGGGGGACAGACAGGAACGCAGCCGGGACCAAAGCCATTTCTGGAAGGGTGTTTGCACAGCAGAGCAAAGCCACAACTGGGAAAACCAGCAGGGCAAAGTCTGGAGAGGCCATTCAAGGGCTGAATTAGCCACATCAGCCGCTTGGCTTGTTTGCAGAGAGCGAGAGTGGCTGGGGACGCTGAAATGACCACAGTGGGGAGGGAGGAGCTGCAGGTTAAAATCCGAGTGGAGCAAAACATTTCCCACCCCATTTGCTCCACCTCGGAGGAGGAATTCAATCACAGGTCACGTAGATGTTTGTGGTTTCCTGTTTCAAGGGCCAGACATTCTCAGATTTGGGATTTTTCAAAATGGAAGCCTTGTTTAATCTGTGGGCTTGTCTAGAATGAATAGGTCCAGGTTGATGGACAGCAGCCAGCCTTTGCTGAAGAATAGAGACAGGTGATAGATAGCAATCGCAACAGCACTTACACTTGTATACCGCCTCACTGTGCTTTACAGCCCCCTCTAAGCAGTTTACAGAGTCAGCCATTTGCCCCCAACAATCTGGGTCCTCGTTTTACCAACCTCAGAAGGATGGAAGGATAGATAGATAGATAGATAGATAGATAGATAGATAGACAGACAGATGGTGATAATAGATGATATAGACAGATGATTATGATAGATGTATGATGATAAGAGAAAGTTGTTGATGATGATAGATGGATGTGTGTGTGTGTGTGTGTGTGTGTGTGTGTGTGTGAGAGAGAGAGAGAGACAGAGAGAGAGAGAGAGAGAGAGAGGGAGAGAGAGAGAGAGAGAGAGAAACCCAGAAGAGAAACATAGGAACAGCCAAGCACCTTCTACAACTGTTGGCTGAAAAACAAGCCAGCCAGGGCTCTCCTCCCTCTCCTCTCATCAAAATAGGAAGGTAAGGAGGTGAGGAAATCCAGGCAGGACAAAAACCAAGATCTACAAGCAACGGGCTGAATTATTTCCGCCCATAATGGTCTCCTCCAAGTTTGTGCACAATAAATGTCAGTGGGTGTTTGGGAGGCTGAACACCAGAAACCATCAATAAATAGAAGGAACAAGGGCTGTTTGAAGCTGCCCAGCGGCTTTTATGAAGAGCTGGCTATTTTGATCTGGTGGAAAAAGAGGTGGGGGAGGTGGGGGCTGCAGGAGAAATCTTTTTCTGCATGGACCCCAAGAAGCGGGGGGGGGGGGGGGAGAGAAGGGAAAAACAACCCAGATCTCTGCCAGGAAAGCAGGGTGCTTTCATATTTATTTTGGAACAGCTATCTGCAAGCGCATCTAATCGAGTGATTGATATTACAGCCTCTCCAGTTTTCAGGCCAAGCCAAGGACCTCAGCTGGGGGTTGGACTCCAAGGATTCAAAGCCCAGGCGAATTCCCCGTTGATATTTCTCCTGTCCAAAGCCCTTTCCTCACGATCAGATTGCTGAGTCCCGGGTAAGGCTCCGGGGAATTGTATGGCCACAACAGAGTCTCCTGGCAGCTGAGGGTCTTTGCAGGGCAGGGGAGTTGAAGGAGAGACCCACCCACCCCAGTTTAGGTAGGGAGGCGTCTCCCCTGGCAGTGGATGAGGACAGAGATAGAGTGCTTGGTCAAGTGGACAAAAGTGGACAAAAAGGAGAGAGGTTCCTGGGGAGAACCGAAGCTTCTTTTCATTGCTCATTTTGGCTCCCCTTTTCTTCAGCTTAAAAATAACAGTGGGAGAGATGTTGCAGCCCTGAAACTCTGTCACGGATGGTGGAATTAAGAGACTGCATGACAGAATCTCAGTTGCTCTTTGCTGTTGACAGACAGATTTCATAGGCTGTGCTAAGCTGCCTTTGGCTGGACCCTCCACTGCACTGAAAAAGTTTGTCTTTGAGCTGCCAGTTCATTGCTTAGACTTCATATGCTAAATGTAGAGTATATGAAAAAAATCTGACACTCTTGTCCTTCAAGAATCACCTTGCAGAGAGATGGATGGCAAACAAATTTAATAAATAAAAATAAATAAATAAGGGTTTTAAATAGGCAACAGCTCTTTCAAATTGTAAGCCAAGAGCAATGCTTTCTGCCCTGGGCTGATTCTCGATCCAGAGGTTTCTGGATTTGAACCCTCTGTGGTCTGTACCCCTCAAACTCATTGCATGCTAACCCAGCGCTATTCTCATTTGTCCTTAACTGTCCTGCAAGGATGGCGCCATGACACCAAAAACCTTGCTAAAGAAAGAATCCTCCCCATTTCTAATCTGGATTGGTGGATTGCTTCAAGCCAACAATGTATAAAAAGAAATCTCTTTGACGTGCTTCAATCTTGCAAACAGAATGACTCATTCTAAGCAGCCCCCTCCTGCTGCTTTGTCTGGGAGGGAGGGGGGGGGTCTTGTGCTCTGACATTTGGCCAAGGGGCACTTCATATCTTCCACGGATGCAGCACAGCTCTCCAAATTTAAAGTCTTATTTTCCCCAGAAAGGTCAGACCCTCCGAGGTGATGCCGACTCACTGCAGAGAGCAGCAAAGCTAAACCCGAACAATTGCTGTGTGTGGATTACAGAGCTAATTTAGGGCTAATTTAGCATCGTTCAGGCCCCAGAAGCAACAGATGCTAGAACCAAGCATTGCTTTAGATTTGATCTCCTGAAGGGGCTTCAATATGGTGGGAGCATGAATATAAAATCTGATCAGGAGCTACCCCACAGTTGGTTAGAAGATGGGCAGCTAGAAAAATATTGTACAAGTAAATAAGGCAAGTCTGTCTCTTAAATCAGGAGTCTCCAAACTTGGCAATTTGAAGACTTGTGGACTTCAACTCCCAGAATTCCCCAGCTGGCTGGGGAACTCTGGAACTTGAAGTCCACAAGTATTCAAGTTGCCAAGTTTGGAGACCCTGGCCTTAAAGCAGAACATCCCACCTGCTGTATATAATTCCCCAAAGCATCTCAGTATTTGACTCCTTTTATTGAGTTTTAATCATCAGCTGCCTCGAGTCTCTCCAGTGTGGTGGTCTTGTAGATCCTCATCCTCAGAAGCACTTTTTGGAGACAAAATCCAAAATGTTGCCCAGCCTCCTGAGATATTATGGTGGCAAAACCAGAGCTAGCATTTGATTTTTCTGTTCCTTTAGTCCAACTCTAAAGCAAACCATTACATACCCAACAGTGAATGCAACCTGATTGCCAGCCGAGTGCTCTCCCCATCTCCCCCATGAGCCTCTCTTCAGCCGTTGGACCAAGCTCCACAATTCCGGGCATAGCTGGGCCAATTTCCAAGCTGCCGCTGCCTTCTCCCCTATTCCTGCCCACAATTCTCTTCTGTGCTGCTGTCAGCCACCTGCCAGACAGGCCTGACGTAGCGTGCCAGCCAAGAGACCCTGCGCCAGCCAACTGGAAAGGCAGGCTGCAGAGAGCATACTGCAGAGCCTCAGGAGGCCTGGCACACATCAAAACGCTGCCACTCTCTAGGACAGTTAATGAGTAACAATCAGCTGTAATACAGCATTTGAAAAAGATCAAAGCCATTTGCCCCAGGGCTCCCAATTCCCCAGATTGCAGTGACGGCAGAAAAACTGAAGAATTTGGAGCAGCCGAGGGATCGGATGCAGGAAGACTGGTCTTTGGCCAATCCCCTTGGTTCTCAACCGCAGGGAAGGCTTGTGACTACCACCAGATGTTAGGGAGTTGCAAGGCGATCGACTAAAATATTTCCAAGACCCCGAAAGTGGCCACAGAACCCTCAACTATGCAAAAGACCCGTGTTTTACACTTGTTACCCCTCATAGAAAACAAAATGATTTCGTTCCTGCCCAATTGTATCCTACCTTACCTGCAGTCATCCTACAGGTCAAGCATTCGAAAATTCAGCTTAGCAGAGAGAGAGGTTGTGCCAGGAATGAGTTGGCACCAGCTGGTATCTTTAGAAAGATGTTGGTGCCTCCAGTTGTTTTTAGAAGGCTCCTCGAGTTGGTATAAATTTAGAGGCAGGATTTTAAACAACAGTGCTGTTCACAAAAACAGGCTATTAAGGTTCCCTGGCATGATGGGCAAAACACACGAGAGGATTTCAAAGCGAAGGAGCTTCTAGATGACGGAATGGCTTAACGCCAAGAGGTAAATTTTGCAGTCTTGAGCCCACTTTGCTTCACCTGGCTCAGCTCTTCCTCCTCCTCCTCCATCTCTTCAAGGACTATTTTTGAATAGTTCCCCTCCCGGTCCTTGAAGGACCTTCAGGCCAAAATACAGGCAGGTCCCTCCCCCCCTTTAAAGCCAGCCAAGCTGGTCCTCTCTCGCTATCCCCAAAATGCCTCTTGAGGGCCCCCTCTTCCCTGCATGGGAGACCATTTCTGAGTCCTCGCCCTCTTGTCTGTCTTAAGTCTCTGCTTCCTGGACACCTTGAATCCAGGCAGCTGTGTGGCAATTGGATCTCTATCCTTTATAGGTCTAGGGCATCACTTGTTAAATCTAAGCACCAAACCAAATTCCAGAGCTGCCATTGGGACAGGAAAACGCTCTCCACCTGCCCAGGTATCATTCCAGAGACTCGAGAGCCCAACTTCAGAATGGTTCCCAGATCAAATTCCAGCTCAAAGATGGATCAGTCCTGAGAAATCCCCTCACCAAAACAGCTCCGGGTTTGGGGGGGGGGTCTGCCTGAGCCCCTCCAAGTTCCCAAGCAGCTGTGATGAAGAGCAGGGCTCTGGCGACGTCCAGTGGCCAGAACCATGCCATGCAGGCAGTGGCTGGCAGTTAGTCTCCTCGCACAAGATCTGAGCCACATTTCTCCTCTGCTTTCCTTCCCCAACTTGTTTGCCCCATCAGAGTTCCTGCCCTTTGGGAAAAGCCGTAGCTTGCCGAGTTAGTTCATAACCTGACTTGGCTTCATCAGTTATCCCTTTGGGTCACAGAAGAGTCTCTCTTGGGGGGGGGGGGCTGTTACAAGTTCAACCTTAAAAAAGCAAGCCAGGAAGAAAATTCAACTTGTTTGAGCTGGGATGTTAAAGAAGGCTCCTGCATAGTCCTCGGACGACAAAGGTGACCGATAAGCACGTACTGGAGCCATAACACCAAGCATGTCACTAGAAGGCAAAACCATAAAACTATCTCATTTAATTTGGCCACCATGTCATCTGGGGGAATTCGCTCAAAGGAAAGGAGGAGATCAAAGAACCCGGTAGCTGGACACCATCAAAGCCGACACCAGCCAGAGCATAGAACAACTGAAATAAGTCGTGCAAGTTCAGAAATGTGGAGAGACCTGGCTGGTAGAATCGGACAAGACTGAATGGATAACGTGATCATCATCACGCTTGGGGGAAGAAGATCTACCCAACCTGGCTGACCTTCTTCATCCAGCCCCAGGATTCGAATCCACTGGCCAAAGGCCCTAACTTTCCTTCCCCCGCCACGTGTCCATGCAAACACCAGTCTGAGACTCAGATTTAATGAACATTTATTTATGTACAGGCTTATACACATCGTTCCCAAGCAGAGAGTTTCCCCCTCTGCCCTTCAGTGCTGTCTTGTCTGCATTTCATTTACAGTCCACATCAATTCTACACAACCCACCGGACAACAACGGGGAAAGGGAAGGAAGGAAGGAAGGAAGGAAGGCAGCTTCTTCCAGTTCACCCAATTCTGCCCAGGGACCCCTAGATCAGGCAAGTTTGCCTGCTGCCCCCTGCCCCCTCAGCAGGGAGGGTTCCCAGCCCTCCAGAGGGAAAGCTGCCGGCCACTCGCTGGCAGAATGCCAAGAACTTTCAGGATGGCACTCTCGGAGCAGCAGCAAGTGCCAGTGTCAAATGCTGGGGAAAGGGACTGGGCACGGACCCCAAAGGGGTTTCTGCAGGGCTAGGGGGCTACAGCAGCTGCCCCACACCTTAGAATGCCCCACGTAGTCTATCTAGAGATGTGGAAGGCAAGCTGGGGTATCGTGCCCTGCTAGGATCTGTCCGATCCCACTTCCTCTGCAAAGGGGAGCCCCGAAAAGCCTCTGCCCCTTCCAAGCTTCCACGGGGTGGGGGGGGGAAGAGGAATGCATGACCTTTCACCTCCCTGAAAAGTGGGAGGGGGTCTTGTTTTAGGAAAATAGGGCAGCCAACCACTACAGCAGGATTTGCTCTTCACCAGGATTTATCTCCATATCTTTTTCTCAAATGGCCAGACCTGCCAAGGTCTCAGAGAATGCACAGAGCGTAAATCTGCACCCCGCTCCCAACTATGAAAGATCTGCTCTTCTCCTTTTGTTCTGGGGGCCAATGGGAGAGGTCCTTCCCAGAAAGACAGGGGTTTGCAGCTCACTTGCTCTCCCCCTCCTCCATTTTATGCCAGAAGGGCCTGGACAAGTGACACGGGGCCCAGGGCCAACTGAGGAGGGGATGCCAGGAGCCAAAAAGGAATGGAAGGGGGAGACAGAAAAAAATAGCTGGATGCAGGCAGCCACTTTCTCTCCAAAAAAAAAAAAAAAAGGAATTCTGCACCATTAGATGATTTCAGTTTTGTTTTTAGTATGTGTTTCAGAAAAGAATTAAAATTAAATGTATTTTGGACACTCGTACAAAATGCCCAGTGATTCTATAAATGAAATCTTGATGGCTGTCCCTCATCTTTAACATCAGAACCCCCAATTCTCCGAGGGCCCCCTTGTGCTCAGAACTTTGTCTCTAAGCCATTTTGGGCCCTTGGCTTTGCCCTCTGATCTTGGGCCCTGGCTTCCTGGACATTGGGGGGGGGAGGAAGGATGGGGGTGCCTGGCCGGGAAAGATCTGCTGCCCCAATGAAGTCTTGGCCCACAGCAAGGGGAAACATGCACGTGCTTGATCCAAGACCCAGATTCTGCAACCTGAAAGGGCTACCCAAAATGTTTCTTGGGTCCCTGCAGTAGCAGTTGCTTGACAGCAAAATCACCACCATGGGGATAAGGGGGTGGGTGGGAAGAAGTGACTACGAAACTGAAAAAAGAAGATGGAGCAACGAGGGCCTCTGACTCTTCCTGCAAATGAGCTGTGTTGAGCTTTGGAGGAATGGGTCCTCCAAGTGGCATTCCGGTCTTGCAGCTCCTTACCTGTAGCTCACAACTGCTGTTCAGATCCTACTTCAGCCAACCCTAAACAACGCGGCCTTGAGAACAGGGAGAGGGGGCACCTAGTGTGCCGGGCTGAAGAAAGTAGTCCCCGGAGACACATATTGGGCCTCTGGGCTTCAGTGGAAGCAGGGTCCCTGCAGCACCCTCAATCTTCCTCTTCCCCCTTCTTAGGCTCTGCTACGGAAGAGCCTCCTTCACGGCTGCTCTTCATGCAAACCCAAACCTTCCCTGGTTCCAGACCGAAGGGCAGAGAGCATGTTGGGTGGCAGCAGTCCCCTCGGCTGCCATGACTGGCAAGAGGCCTGCATTCCCAAGAAGGCCAATGCTGCTCAGGCACAAGGACAGGCAGGGCTGGTGTGTTACTTGATGTGCTCGGCTGCGTGTGATGAGCAGTAGTACTTCTTGTGGGCAATGAAGGTGGACAGGCTGCTGAACTTGATGTTGCAAAGGCGGCAATAGCGGTGGCTGCCGTTGGCCACGGGGGTGGGCGGCCCTTTGCCAGAAGGGGTCTGCGCACCTTTGTCCGTATACCCAGAAGGGGGTGCACTGGGGAGGGCCTCGGGCAGGGGGGAGAGGGGCAAGGGGACGGAGGGAGAGAGGGGCAGGAGGGGCTGGGGAGAAGCTGTGGGTTGAGGGCTCCCATTGGACAGGGGAGGGACGGGCGCCTCTTTGCCATTGAAGCTGTCCTTGGGCAGTCTGGGGGCCGGCTGTGGCGGGGAGGTGGCTGGCAGGGAGGGAAGCGGGCTGCCATCGGCCAGTGTCCGGGTGGCCTCTATCAACGTGGACCCTGCTGCTGTTTTGGTCACAAACAGTCCGTGAGTATTTCGAAAGTGCTCTACCAAGTCTCCCTTCACAGTGCCATTGATGGGGCAGTAAGGGCACACGGCCAGAGGCACCTTGGCACCTGCGAGGTGCTGAGCTTTGCCCTCCAGGTAGCGCTGCTGCTGCTGGAGTGGCTCAACGGCAGGGAAGCTGGCTGGTGCAGCCACGGGGCTCAAGGAAGGCACCACCCTCTCCACCTTAATTGGAACCCCTTCAGGTTCCTCAGCCTGACGCTCTGGGCTGTCTTGGGCCTTCCGAGGTGCTGGGGCGGCCCCCTTGATCTTCTGCAGCTGCTCTATGGTGCTGGTCTGCAAGGGCGTGGCCGGGCAGTAGTACTTCTTATGGGCCAGGTAGCTGTCGAGAGTGTGGAAGCTGATCCGGCAGGCCGTGCACTCGTGGTAGTCCGCCAGGGGAAGGAGGGAGGCTGGGAGCACCCGGCTCCCACTGCTCAGGCGGGGCTTCTTGCTGAGGTCGATGGGGCCCTCGGCATCTGGGCTCGAGCTGGGGGATGGGGTGGCCTTGACCACCGAAATGAGAGCAGGGACCACAGGAGGCGCCTCAGGGCGCGGGACCTCTGGGGCAGCCCCCCGTTGGCTGCTGGCGTTGTGGATCTCGTAGAGCTTGCGGCGTTTGCGAGTGCGGATCGGCTGGGGGAGGAAGGGCAGCTTGCCGGCCGCACTGCTCCGGCGCAGGGGAGGGTCGTGGCGGGAGGCGCAGTAGTAGCGCTTGTGCACCATGTAGGTCTCATGGCGGCTGAAACGGATGTTGCAGGCTTCACAGACGGTCCGGTTGGGGTCATCCTCCGGTTCCTCCACAGAGCTGGCGCCTGGGCTTGGGCTCCCCTCGCTGATGCGCCCGGTTCCATCCGTCTCAGGGGAGGGGCTGGCTTTGGCTGCGCCTTCCTCCACTTTGACCTCTTGCTTGATCTCTAGGGCGGGAGGGGTGGCATTTCCCTCCAGTTCCCCCTCCTGGGCTGCGCTGCTCTCTCCGGGCGACAGACGTGGCCCGGTAGTGGTTGGGCCTTTGGGCGCAGTGGCGGGAGCCGTCTTGGCTTTGCGCAGGACAGACGGGCTCTCCTCACCCAGGCGGCGGCTGGAGCAATAAAGACGCTTGTGGACGTAATAGTTGTTGATGTTGTTGAACGTGATCTCGCACTCAAAGCAGGTTGCGCCCTTGGGCATGGGGGTGCCTGGAAAGAGGGTGGGTGGCACCGCACCATGGCCTTGCTTTAGGCGGCTGTGAACCAGCTCGGACATCTTGGCCAAGATTTCGGACGCCTGGGGCAGCACGGAGGCTTCATGGCCAAACAGGTACTGGGGCAGAAAGACGGTGCCTCCGGAGGTGCTGGCGCCAAGCTCACTGGGCACGGGGCTGGATCCCGGTGTGGGGCTGGTGATCTCCGACTTCACCTTCACAGAGTGCAGGCTGTGGGGCGAGGGCACCCTGGAGGACGCATCCATCTCGGCCTCGGGTTCAGGAGCTACCTCTTCTTGGGGGGCTCCTTGAGGGTCTTCCCCCTCATCTAAAGGCTCTTCCTTGATTTGCACGGGTGGGGCCCCGTCAAGCCAGCTGGCAGCCGGGCTCTTTTCTTGGGGGGGAGAGCCACTTCCCGCATCCTCTGCAGGGGACCCCCTCGCGTCTTGTACAGGGGATTTGGCGGGGGTCTCTGGGGGGCTCTGCTGAACAGCTTTGAGCTCTGAGTTGGGCAGAGCTGTCGCTGCGGGGCTATGCAAGGTCACGTGCTGCTGGAGGCTGGTCAAGCAATTGGCCACGTAGCCACAGAAGCTGCACTTGAGCGCAGAGGATGAACCTGGAGAGCTCAAGCCTGCAGAAGGGGAGAGAAAGAGAAGGTTGAGCCTTGATGGGAAAGCACACGGGGTGGCTGAGCTCACATGTTGGCAATTGGGATCCTAAGTCACCATCCTTTACCAATTGCATAAAACAGTTGACCAGCCTTGCACAAATCGAGCAAGTCGCCTGGCTCAGCATCTTCTGGGAACTCAATGATCTTCTCGCTCTCCAAGGTCATCTCCATCAGCATGAATCCAGAGGAAGCCATCTTTCATGGCTTAGTGCTATTAACTTGACCAGGCAACCTGGTCAATTGCTGCCAATACCAATCAATTTATGGACACTTGCTAGAATTCTCCAGTCAATTCACTCCCTACCTGTTACTAATTTTAAAAAATGCAATTTTATGAAACAGGTTCTTCAGAACTCTATCAGCCCTTCTAACCAGGACAGGGTATCTCTATCAATGATGAAACTAGGTAATTTGGGTAATGAAATGAGCACCAAAGATCCCTCATTTCAACCAGGAACTACAAATCTTCTCCTGTTCGCAGGCTACCTCTGGAACCCCCTCACTTACCCGGGGCCATTGGCTTAGTGGTGGAAGCAGGGATGGTGGGGCCTGGGGAATAGACCTCTCCTTTGGAGCCAGGCTGGCAGATCATGTGATTGGTGACCAGGTGGCTGTAGAGGATGTCCCGAGTGGTGGAGATGAAGCCACAGCTGTGGCAGACACCTGGAAGCACAGGAAACTGCCTGATTGTTGGTCTGTAGAACATTAAACTACCTACTTGGGCTGCCAGGAGCTCTCCAGACACTTGTCGATGGTGGGCACCAGCTAATGAATCTGGGGACATCTGCATGCAAAGCTGGTGGTCCACCAAGAGCCTGGATTCCAGTTACATGAGGGGTTACTGATACTGGTGGAGACCAAGTGTACAGTGGATAGGAGGAAGCATCTTATAGGGACAAAGGTGACTTAGAAGCGTAGTAAATGAACTTATTATAATCGTTTAGGTCTATTCCATCTAATCTAAAATTATAGAGTAGATAGGACTTTCCAGAGTTTCAAGCCAAACTCTTCTATCTGCAGATGCTGAACTTAGGATCTTCTGCAAGTTGAGCAAAGGCTCCGTCACTCAGATCTGGCATCTCCAAGAGGCATCTAATAGTGGCCAACTCTCTTCTCCCTCCTACCATAAGACCACACAGTTTTTCACAGCTTTCCGCCACCAACATCTTCTGTTCAATTAGAGAATCCCAAGACTTTCTCCAAACCCACAACCAGGTCACTTCAACCATGAGAGGCCTCAGCAGGGGACTCTGGGGAGTAGGACCCTGGGCAGAAGAGAAGCTCCCACCACCAGCAGTGGAGCCTTCCTTTGGCCTGGCACAAGGGTTCGTGAACGAGGAAGAGTAATGTGTCCACAGCTAATGGGCCTCTGAGAAGGATTCGTTTCATGCCGTACTTCCAGCCCCAAGTCCAACTTACCATTCAAGGTATCTGTGTGTACTTTGAGGTGTCGCTCACAATTTGCTTTTGTGGTAAAGGCAGACAGACAGATGAGGCAGACAAATGGTCTTTCTCCTGAAAAAGAAGCCAGATGAGAATTGCAGGACTCGGACAAAAATGGTGTTATCTCCTTGCCCCAAAATGGCAGGGCTGACCCCCAGTTTTCTGCATGGCTCTGCAACATGACGGAGAGGCTAAAGTACACCTGCTGATGGGTGCACCTTACAAAAAATCAGTTGGACTTTGGCAGGAGATCCCCATGGCTGAGATCTTACTGCCAGCGATTAGACTTTATATTAGAGAATAACCTCATAATGGTATCCAGACTTCCTGTCGGTCTCATACTATTGCAACCTTTGAAAGCTGGGGTGAGCTTGAGCCTGTGCCTCCAGCCTCTGGGGCCCTGAATCTCCCCCAGCCTAGCCCCCTTCTGCCCCTTCCCACCCAACCTGGGTCCCCCCGGGAATGGCTCAGGTCTTACCGCTATGGCTGCGCATGTGGATCTCCAGGGAGCTGGCACTGGGACAGCTCTTCTGGCACTGGGGAAAGGGGCAGATGCGCTCGTTGGGGTAGGCATCCTTGGGCTTTTCATCCAGGGTGGGCGAGGTGGAGTTCTGGCGGCTGGCACAGTAGTACATCAGATGAGCCTGCAGATTCCGTTCACTCCGGTACCAGATGCCACAATCCTTGCAGGGAAAGACGTCCTCTGGAAGGCAGAAGAGAATCAGAGGAGGAGGAAGGCGGCCTCATTTGCAGATGGAGAACCCTCAAAGGACGTGGACTTTGGGCAGGAGAGAGACCGGTCAAACCTTCCTCCATCAGACCAGCCCTCCTGAAGCCCAGCCATAAAGGTCAGGGGCTGCTCTGAGCCATCATTAGTTTTTAGTCTGTTCCAAAAAGATGGGATTATTTACAGGAATAAACCGGTGGCTTCTTTGTCTGCTACCTTCCTCTAGACCAGTGTTTCTCAACCTTGGAAGCTTGAAGATGGGTGGACTTCAACTCCCAGAATCCCCCAGCCAGCACTGAGTTGAAGTCTACCCATCTTCAAGCTACCAAGGCTGAGAAACACTGTTCTAGACTTCCATTTCTACAGGCTGTCCTCCATTTACAATCATTCATTTAGCGAGCATTTGAACTTACAACAGGACTGGAAAGAGAGACTTACAACCGGTCCTTGCACTTACAAACATTGTAGCTTCCCCAGGGTCTTGGCAACTGGAATCTATTTACAATGGTTGTGACACCCTGGGGTTGTGCGATCACCATCTGTGACCTTCCCAGGTGTCTTCTGACAAGCAAAATCAATGGGGGAAGCCGGATTCCCTAATGACTAGGTGATTCACTTAACAACCACGACAAAAGAAGGTTGTAAAATCCGGCACTGCTGGCTGAATAACAGTGTTTCTTAACAATGGAAATTCTGGTTCTAATGGTAACCGTAAGTCAAGGAGTACCTGTAATGATTTGCTGATATGCCATGAAGTTGCGGTCTACTTTGGTGACCTCATCCGGCACTACACCTCCCTGATGTTCTTTCATCCTCCCTCCCAGGAAGACCCCACCAGGCACAAGGAGGCAGTCCAGCCGGACCTGGGGAAGGGGCTGCCCCGAGTGTGCACACGATGGGCAGGACGGAATAGAAGGTCAGAAGGGGAGTCAGCTAATGGTAAGAGGAACCACTGAAGTCAGTCCCAAGGCTAGGACCAACAGTCTAATCCAACAGAAGAGCAGCTGCCAGACACGTGGACTTCAACTCCCAGAATCCCCAGGAGTTGGCATCCATGGCTCTAGCAGGGATGGCTGCAGGGAGGCCTTAACCAATCACTTACTGTTGACAACTGCCGTGGCTAAGATGGCCGCCATCCCCGCTTGCTGGGGAAGCAGCTGGATTTCGGAAGGCAGAGCGACGGGGGCAGCGGATTCCCCACCCTCGATCTTTCCAGTGTGGTTGGGGATCCCCATCGGCTCAGCCATGACGAATGCCTTCAGCGCATCTCCTTCGGAAAGAGGCTTGGTAGTTTTACACCAAATGGAGTCATCTGGAAACGGAGGAGGAGAAAAAAATAACACAATTATGGGAGCCACAAGTTTTCAGAAGCAGCATCATCCAGCCTCGGTTCTTGGTTTTTTTGTGAAATAATGGCCAATATTTTGCCCAGAGAGGTGATGCCCTTCCATTGGGACCTAAAGTTTCCCAAGCAGCCTTGAGAAAATCACCCTCCCTGGACTCTTCTCCTATTCCAAAGCCAAAATTCTAGGAGGCGTATGGAGAAAGAGAAGCTGTAAAATAAATGTTATGCAGTGGAATTTGAATTGATTTCCAAATTGAATTCTGCAACGACTTTGATGAACAGCAGAATGATCTGAAAAATATATTAACCACCAGCTGCTCATTGGACTGTCCAAGAGGGGAATAAAAGATATATCTAAAATATTATATGTGCATTTTTATACTGTATTTATATCTACATCTTTCTCTCTCACGCACACACACATTGTATAGGGGCATCATTATTAAACGTATAAAAAGTGCCTTCTGCCTTCTTGGGATGATGTGCAATTATTAAACATTCTCATATTGCCAAATACCCTGAGAAACTCTCAAACAAACTGATCAAAAATGTAAGCACAATTGCACAAGGTATAATTGTTCAATGTATGTAATATGTGGAAGGATGTTGCACAGAAATATTTGTACCCAGACCCCCCACCCCCCATAAACTGAAGTTGCTGAGCCACTGAGATGCTTGGTGTCTCTGAGGATTCAAATGAAAGAACGATTAATTGAGCTAAGAGTTTTAAAGGGCAGGCAGGAGCATCGCTGCCCTTTTAGTTGCAGTTTTGAAATGCCTGTTTGATCTTTCCAAAACTTTGCACTGACTATTCTGTGCAATGCACACAGCCAAAGGAAGGTGGCAGTGTTGGACCACACATCCACAAAAAATGGCACAATGTTCTTTCTGGCTCTCTCCCCATCACTTAGCACACCTGACCTGTCCATTCCGAAGCCCTTTGCCCGTATCCCTTCTTTGGGCCATGCCTGGAATGCTACCCCTGGAAAGATCTAGCACTGTAGACCCACCACCCTTCCCAAAAACCTGCTTTTTCCAACACAGCTACAATTTAATCCCTAAATCCTCATGCCTGTGGGTGCTCATTTACTACATCTGTGCCTTCCCACTCATTGACTTCCCTAGTTGCCCTGTTTCCTCCATGTTTTGCCTTTGAGTACAGAAGGGGGCTTCCTACTTGTCTGCTTGAAATATACTGACGGACTAAATACAGCTAGTCCTCGACTTACAACCATTCATACAGTGAGCATTCAAAGTTACTACGGCACTGAAAAAGTGACTTACAACCGGTTCTTGAATTTATGACCACTGCAGCATCCCCACAGTTATGGGATCAAAATTTGGGTACTCGGCCATCAGCACATATTTACAATGGCTGAAGTGACCCCGAAGGACATAAAAAATTGGCTGACTCAATTAACAACAGCCTTGTTTAGCAATGGGACTTCTGATCCCAATTGGAGTTGTAAGGCATGATCACCTGTATGGTTAACAGCAGACATCAGGTGTGTGCTGGCATGAGGTTGGGGAGAATTAGCTCCTGAAAACAAGTAAATTGTACTTTTTTTTTAGCACCCTTATCTCTACTGGAATGAACCCCCCTCTTCCCCCTCCCCACCCCAAACCAGGCAGGGCTCACTGCACAAGTGCCGACCTTTCTTGTAGATCACCGAATTGGCGTCCCCTTCGCCAGGGACCAAGGAAAGCTTGGCCAGCCAGCATGTGTCGTCCTGCAGGATCAGGGTCACCGGTGGGTTCAGCTGAGAAGAGAAAAGGAGTGGGTTGAACGTGCCAGTCGCCCTCCCTTCCGGCAAAACAGCTTCCACTCTGAACTCCAGCAAAAACAAAACCTGCCACCATTGGAAGATCAGCCTGAGCTGGCCAGATCTCAAACTTTGGCCCATGCATTTCAAGCCAGCCTCATGGTTGGGAAGGCAGTCGTGCTGGAATGCACCGCATTGGCGGGATGGGAATTCTGCCCAGTTCATCTTCTCAACTGGTGCCCCTCCCCATTTCAAGAGCTGGGCTGGCCCCACCCTCAGGGAGCCAGAGGGTGGGGCCAGCCTTGGACCAGTGGGCAATAATAGAGCTGCCTGGGGCACCTCCCCCCCATCCAAACAGGCAGAGATACGAATTGACTCCAGCCACCAATGCTGGGGGGTGGGTCTGGGCTACGTGGACACGTGTCTCCTGAGTCTGCCCAGGTCAGTGGGTGGCTTCCTTCCTCGCTCCAGTGGTGACGTGATCCACGTGGCCACGGAGCGAAACCCGGAGCTCACTTCCCTTCCGGACGGCTGCTCAGCAGGGCCACGGCAGCCCCGAGGAGTCAGGGGGCCTCCGCCTGAGGACAGCCCCCCTCCCTTGTGGAAAGTGACCCGGCGGCCACTGCGGCCCCAGCACGAACACAACAAGCTTGTTATTTCCTCTTCTTCGTCACCCGCGGGCCAAGCTGTGCCGGCCGGGGAGGAAGCAGCCACTTCACCCCTAACCTCAGTGGTGTGCAGGGAGGAAAAGAGATTAGAGGGGCAGAGGAGGAGGAGGAGGAGGAGGAGGAGGAGAGGCCGGATTGCTGGAGTGGGGGGCAGTCAGCCAAGCTGGGCCCCCTTTAGCAAGACAAAAGGAAGTGCTGTGACTCTTTGACCAGGCATGGAGCCTGGGGGTGGGGGGGCTGCTAATGCAGCCCCAGATGTTCAGCAGGGATGGGAAGGGATGGGCAGGTGAAACCACCTTGCTTGAGCCCCCAGGACCCCCATAGAAGGACTGGAAAGTCTCTGGAGAACAAGAGGGTCCAAGCATCGGCCCTGAATTGTCTCTCGTTGAATTCCCATCCATCCCCAACCCCCAGTTTGGCCTTTGCAGCGGAAGAGACAGTTGGAATGTTCTGCCCAGGGAGGGGCATCCACAGATGGTTTTTTGGGGGTGCAGAGAACTGGAAGATGAGCTTATGATCCCAACCTAAGAGATAGACGGGAATCAATAAACAGCCGACAGCCAGAAGGCCCATCCAGCCTCCCTCCAGGGTTGCTTCTGAGACAGAGAAAGATTCAGAGGGGGCGTGGACGGACTCCCCTGTCCAATGGACCCCCTCAAAGGACACCTGGAAGCCCCCTGGAATCTTGCACCTTCACCCCCCACTGCAAATAACCAGGTGCCTCTGCTTCCAGTGACCTGCCCTGTCAAAACAAGATACACCTTTTTGCCAAATTCCAGCGAAAACCAGCCGTTTCTCAGCACACTGCAATTTCCTCCGCGGGTATTAATGCGGTTTGCAGTTTACGGACCCACCCTAGGCGCCCTGGGGCTCAGACCCAAGTGGCAGGTTTTGTTTCGCTTCCCACCCCCACCCCTCTGTGGGCCAAGGAGACCCTCCACCCAGGCAGCAGCCGACATTCTCCCCTTCTCCGAGATTTGGAGGGCACATTAAGATGCCAACCAGAGAAAAATATTCTGTCCCTTAGATAGACATGGGCTTTTCTAGCAAAGGGCCAAAAACACCACTTTCCTCCTTGGCGGTCAGGGAAGAGGTGAACTGCTGCTGAATATGGAGGTTCGAATCTGCACTTCCTCCAAATAGGTGCTGAAGAAAAAAATGGTCCAGCGCACGAGGCCGAGCAGGACTTTGTATAACAGCCAGAGGGGAGGAAGAGGAGGATCTGGGGAGGGTCCCGGGCTGTTTCCCTCTTGCCGGCTGCCCCATTTCACTCCCGCTCAGCCCTCGCGCCTCCCTGCCTCCCTGCGCTGCTAATGAATATTAATGAGAAGGAAGGAGGGCGAGGGGGAAAAATTAATCTGCCTGATCCTTCAATGGCTGCAGCAGTAACGATATAAAATCTAATTATCCGTCCCAATATTTCTAAACCCTCCACTCAGACTGACAGTCTTCGTCGGTTTAAGGCTTATCGTTCCAAGGAGCGGAGTGCTCAAGGCTTGATAATAACACACACGTGCAAGCTCCTCTCGCTCTCTTTTTCTTGCACACGCACACACACACACACACACACACAGAGAAAAGAAACACACTTTTGCTGACGGTACAAAAACAACAACCTTCCTATGACGTCTTTGCCTGTGATGGCACGTGCCCGAAAACGGGAGCCACCCCAATGCTGAAGGAAGGGGCAGCGCTGCCACATGTGTGGAATGGGGTAGTGGGCACAACTGGGAGATCAGCTGATTCAGCACTTGGGTTCTCCCCCCCCCCCCCCCCGGGCCTGGCATCTGTGCCCAGCTCCCTCAGTGCCACATCCAGCTTTGCAGAGACCTTGTGGGTGTGGAACAGATGCCAGCTCCACGCAGAATCCCATTTTGGCCTGCAGTCCTGTTGCACATCCCAAAGTCTACGAGAGACACAGACTGACGACCCAGCTGTGGCTTCTCTTCTGGCCATTTTCCACTCCAGACCCCCTGCAGGAAGTGGGCCCGGGGCTGCACCGCGATGCTGAGAACTCTCCTTGTTTCCCCTCTAACAAAGAGGTCAGTGTCTCGAATCTGCAGTGGGCCTGATAACCATCGGAAACTCTATCTGACTAACATCCGCCTAGGACACTTTATCCGGACCCCTTGCTAAACAAGGGAGAGGAGGAGCAGAGCCCACCACCCTGGTTAATCGTTAAGCTTCACCATGATTTGCTCTCCCAGCAGGAAGGGGGCATGGAGAAAGAAGCATCCCTCTGCCCCAGGCATTTCCGTCCTGCAGAAGGAGGTTGAATCACGCTGGAAGCAGGAGGGAGACTCCCTCAAGAGCTGGTGGGTTTTCAGTATGGAGGACAAGAACCAGCGTCTCGATGCCCACCTGTCTTCCAGGAGCAGTTTTGGGATGTAGGATCTGATCCAGCATTCCGAATCCCCAAAACCGCCAACCAGATGTTCACAGAAGCACCACCCATGTCCGGCACACTGGCCAGCTGGAGGTATTTGGGGCGCAGGGAAGAGGACTTTCACAGAATGACTCTGAAGCATCTCTTTAGATCAGAGGTTCTCAACCTCGGTAGCTTTTTGAGAGGCAAGGCCTTCTCCAGCCAGCTGGGGAACTCTGGAAGTGGAAGTCCACGCATCTCAAAATTGCTGAGGTTTAGAAATATTGTTTCAGACCCTCAAATCTTTTACAGGCAGCACCTCCAAAGCAGAGTCCTGCTCCCAATGCGGCATTTCATCTTCTGCTTCAATATTCTCGTGGGGAGGCCAAGCCCACCACCTCCTGTGGCAACTTGGTTTGAGTTGCATAACTCTCACTTACTAGGAAGTTTTTCCTCGTGTTCCATTCAGACCCGTTTCTTCTCCGTTCACACCCAACAGAAATAGTCCTGGAGCAGTAGAGAACAAGTCTATTCTTTCTTCTGAATGGCAGCCTTGCAACTGTTTGATGATGAGGATCATATCACTCCTGGATCTTCTCTAGAGGAAGCACCGTCCAATTTTTCAACTTCGCTTTGTGGAATCTGGTTTACCTACCACTCAGTTTGCTTCACCTCTGACCCTTAAGGTCACAAGCCACACTTCCTCCTCCATCTTACACCAAAATCTTCAGTGTCTACTTTTGGTACCCAGATGTTAAATGTTTTGGCTCTGCTCAGTTTCACCATGCTGATTCATCTCTGTCTATTCAAGAACTCTGCTCCACCATCTTACCACCTCACCCAGCTTCCTTCTTTGGACAACTTTTTTTCTCTACAAGATGCTCATTCAGCTGGAATTAATAGAGGACCTCACTATAAATCAACCTCCCACAAACAAAGGCCCACCAACCACTCATCTTCTGCTTCGAAGGGTCTTCCCAACCAAGAAGATGGATCTCTTTGGCCGAAGCAGGATGAGATGGGGACACAGGTGGTTCCTGCACTGCCATGCCAGTTTGAAAGATGCTCCATAAGATCAGATACCTGCTAGGCATCTGAGGAGGGGCCAGTAGTGACAGTCCCCAAGGACCCATGTTCCATTCTGGGCCACTCCATTCCCAGAACAATGAGGGGAGAGAACTGGGAGACCCCTCCCGCTCAGGACTGATAAAGGTTGAGGCTTCCAAAAGCCAAAAATGGCGAAAGGCTCAGGGGCAGGAGGGTCTTCCTCCCCCACCTCACCCAGGAGTGACAACGCCAAGGCAAAGAGAGCGGCGAAAGAGAGGGCTGGGGATTGTCAGCGTGGCTGGATAAGGGAAGCTGCTGAAACAGGAGCAAAAATATTTAGACAATAAATGAAGTATCAGAAGAAAGCAGCAGCCTATCTTTAAGAAATCAATCATCCTGTACCGGTTGTCTGGACAGACGGCGCCACAGAAGAGATAGCCGCCAAACTGGCAAGATAAGGGTTAATCAAGGATTTAATTCAGCACAAAAAAGATAAATGGGGAGCAGAGGGAGACAGAGAGGGAGAGAAAGTGGGGAGGCCCAGACGCTGGGGCCCGATACTCTCCACAAAAGCAGAAGGGAAAGTTGGACCGGCTCCCAAGCCCTCGCCCTGCCCAGGCCACGATTCCTGGGATGGCGCTGGAGGGAGGCAAGGGAGGCATCGCAGGGACCCCGGTTACTTCCAAGAGGCAAGCAAAGCCCCTCAACAGGCCCCTGGCCCAGAGCAGAGCCTCCTGCTTCTCTCCTGCACCCAGGCAGGTGTGTGTGTGTGTGGGGGGGGCACCTCGCCCTGTGGTTCCCTTTCTAAATTTGGGCACTTCAATGCTCTCGGCATTGGCCCATAAATCATGCCAGGTGGGCAAGCTTTCTGGTGTTATCGCTGCATTTTGAGCTATCTTGCAATAATTTTATTGGAGAAGGACCCCCCAAAAGAAATGAAGCACTCACAAATGTCCCTTTCTTTGCCACCCAGTCTCCGATTTCCCTCCAGACCCCTGCTAGTCCTGCCGGAGACAGGAATCAAGTCAGACTGGAGGAGAAGAGAGGGAATGCACCCTTCCGGGCCAATTCCTTGATAACAACCATCCAGGTTAGTCATTGCACCTCCTCACACCCAAATATGCGGGTACTGCAACTCCCCTGCACCCTGTGTATTTGGGTCCCCTCCGTTCCTGTGGTGTTGGTAATTCTACCACGACCATTTCTCACATGAAGGCTCCAGGGTGGATCCTTCTTCCTCCTCCACTAAGAAAGCTGCCTTTATGTGGGGGAACCTTACCGGCTCGGTCAGTCCTGGAGAAGGAGGTTCGCTGTGGATATTTCCTGGGAACGGGCCCCAAAACACTCCACCGGGGATGCCGTGTTTGGCACACACCTTGCTCTCCGCCTGGGAGGTCAGAAGCTCCAACTCGTCTGAAAGAGAAGAAAGGGAGGGTTGGGGAAGTCCGAAGGGTCAACAAAGAGCCCGAATGGCATCCTGGATGATCCCTCCAGGGGTTTATTTGAGCTGCCCTGCTGAGGGATGCCATGCCAGACTCAGTGGGCGCTTCCACTTGGCAAAAGGTGCTTCTGCTAGTTAGATGGTGCTTTGGGCACAGGTGGGGGCACTTCAACATCACCCTGCTGGGACAGTCAGGGTGAAGAGTCTCTTTGCCCAGGCCAAATATTTAAACGGGGAGGTTTGAGGTGGGAATGGTCGCATGGAAAATCAGGTGAGCTACAAGAGTTTGTGTGCCATCACTCAACCTTCCCTAGTGAATACTTCCTCATTTCCTCACTGGTAAGAGGAGGAGGAGGAGGAGGAAGGGTGGAGACCTTGGTGCTCTCTAAGCTGGGTAGTTTTCTTGCAGACATTTCATGACCCAACTAGGGAATCTCATCAGGGCTGGAAGAGAGTGGGGTTTGTAAGTGGGGGGAGGAGGAGGTGAGTGTGAAGAGCCCAGGGCTGCTCTCAGCTCTGCCTGGACACCACCCTCTTGCTGGGTTCCCCCATCCCAGATCCTGCTTCGGACCCCATTCTACAGGAAGTTCCTCTCCAGTTACGCCATAGAGCAGGCATGTCCAACTTCGGCCACTAAGCCCTGTGGACTTCAACTCCCAGAATTCCCCAGCCAGCCATGACTGGGAGTTGAAGTCCGCAGGTCTTAAAGTGGCCCTCGAGGGTTTTCTTGGAGAGGGGGCAGGATGGTCCAAAGTTGCTGGCATCTCTCCCTGGGAAAGGGAGCCTCTCGGAGGCTTCATCAGGACCCTTGGCTGAGGCAGCCCGGAGCTGTAATAGCCTTGATGGTTTGATAAGCCTCTCGGTTTAATGGGGGGAGATAACATGTAAATTGGCCGGGAAGACTGGCCTAAAAATGTTTTAGCTGCACCTCCATCATGCTGCCTGCTGATAAGATGGCAGTTAAACAATACTTCAAGGCAAGCTCAAGCAAGGCCTCCCCCTCCTCATTCCACATCTGGGAAAGGAAGAAGGGGCAACTGCCACCCCCTCTTTTCTCCAGGCCCTCTGCAGGGGAAAGGGGGAGGGCCGGTTGGGGGCTCAGGTTGACCTCCTGCCTGGGAAACAAATCCTTCAGATCAGAGTTCTCCTCTCCCCACATCAAAGGGGGAAGAAGAGAAGGGAGGGAGAATGCCAGGGTCTATCAGAAGGGAGGGGAGGGCTCCCACAGCTAGCTGCCACTGCCAGCTTTCGTGACCATCTTGGCCAGGGTGTGCCAGTCTCAGCAGGACCAGACTGGCTGGAGAATTATGGGAGGTGTAGTCCACCTGTCTTAAAGCGGCCATGGTTGAGAAACACTCAAGAGGTGCACCAAAATACAGTTTTAAGCCCCCAATGGGGGTGAATAGCCTGTAAAGCAAAGATCCTTGTCACCACCACCTCAAACTCTATGGAAAAAGGGAGACAACCCGGGAGCTCCAACTTCCGGCCGGCTTTTGGGATACCCAGCAGCCCCCTCCCTCCCTCCCTCCTTCGGCTTCTTGCTGGCTAATCAGCTTCGTTTGGGTCAGGAGACCATGGCTGGACGATAAGAGCCTCTTGCTGACACTTTCCATGTCAGAACTGAGCATCTTCTGTGTATCAATCCTCACCAGAGAAAACACTGGGCCTCTGATAAAGGAGGCGACCGTTCCAGACAGAAGGGGACAAAAATAGGGCTAGCCCAGAGGAGGGGCCCTGCCCTCCCTCTATCTCTGCTGGAGGGGGCAAAGGGAGGAAGGTTAGATGGATGGAAGAAAGGGAGGGAGGAAGAAAGAAAGGAAGGAGATTAGGGAAGGAAGAGAAAGGAAGGAAGGTCAGAGGAAAGAAGAAGAATAGAAAAAGAAATTGGGAGGGAGGGAGGGAAGGAGGAAGGAAGGAAGGAAGGGCTAAGTTATGGGGAAGGAAGGAGTGAGTTATGGGGTTAGAGGAAGGAAGGAGAGAGGGAAGGAAAGTAGGAAAGAAGGAAGGAAGGAAGGAAGGAAAGAAAGAAGGAAGGAGCACAGTGAGCAGTGCTGGATGGGCTGAGATGGATGCCAGTGGGCACCAACGTGGCTGCCTGAGAAGACTTCCCTCAGCTTGAAAGCAAGGCCTGGACATTCCTGATTCCTACCATAGGGTCTCTAGCCCAAGGCCATCTCTGCAGAGCCTGGACTTCAGACAGACAGAGGGACCAAGATGGATGGAGCCCACTTCCAAAGCGCAGGCAGGCTCCCCACCTGAGCATTCCCCCAAGTGCCACCTCCCGGATCAACCGGCCACCACCAGGACACATCAATTAATAGTCCGGCCGGGCCTAATGGCCAAAACAATGTTGTCGATTATCGCAAGGAACAAAGTCCAATTCTCCCCCTCCAGCTGGCGGCTGTGCGCCTGCGTCTGTCTGCCCCTAATCTCGGGATCGGTGGCGCTGGCGCTCAGTTTCACCACCCGGCAGGTTAATACAATTCCGCCCTTATCTTATCTCCCCATCAGCTTCCTGGCCAAGCAACCCTCCGATTGGTTCCTGCAAGCCAGCTGGCCCAAAGTTATCAGAATAATTCTTATCTCCGGGATCATTAACCAAATTGGGCTGGTATCGGCCTGCGTGCCGGCGATAATGAAGTTGCAAGCGGAATGGAGGGGAAGAGGGAAGATGGCGAGCAGATGCCGTCTGAGGAGGCTGGCATCCCTCGGGGGCCTCTCCAGAAGGTCCTTCGCTGGGATGGGGGTGCTGCGGCTGCCTTTGGAGCCCAGACAGCTCAGCAAGGCTGGTGGAGGAGGTGGGCCAGCCGTTCAGAAGCACCGTGTCGTGACCCAGGTTGGGTTGCTTGTGGATAGGGGGTCTCAGCCACCTCTCCAACTGGGAGCATGGAAAGGACAGGAGATATTTCTCCATCGTGTGGAATGGCACAACCTCTCGGAGCAGTCTTCCTCAACCTCGGTGGCTTGGAAGACGTGCGGACTTCAACTCTTGCATAACTGGCTGGGGAATTCTGGGAGTTGAAGTCCACACGCTTCTTCAAGCTGCTGAGGAACACCGTCCTAGGAGAAAGGCAGAACCATGAATGCCAGAATAATAAAGACCCATGTGAAGTCTGCCCTTTTGCCTACTTCCAAGCTGCTGCTCTCCAACCGACCCCGGGCATTTCATAGGAGGAGACTTGGCTCCTTCTGTGGCCTCTCTGGGCCTCCTTTGATCTCACCTACTGCCACCCCTGAGCTGGGAAACCAGCCACCCTCCAGATGGCCCTGAACCACAACTGCCAGCAGTTCCAGCCCACTTGGCCAAAGGAAACGGACGCTGGGAACGCCAGCAGCCTCCAGGAGGGACCAGGTTGCCCAACCCACTCAGCTTGGCTGTGGTTAATCCAAAAGGGATCAGCTGTGAACCAATTTTGGAGACTGGATGCCACGCCAACTTTATCTGGCGAGAAAGCGTATCAGGAAGAGTTTGGCAAGTGTACCAGCCAAACTTCCTCACTTGACTGGAGTCAAACAGAAAATCAGGTCCTCTCATGCCTACACAAGACCCCACCCCCAATAAAGAAGACCATCTGCTCTTAGATTGCTCCCTGTAAACTCTATGAAAGCAGAGATGATTAGCAACCAAAACCATCATCCAAAGAAACTATCTCCACTGAGGTCCTCAAATCTCATTGCCCCCCACTTTCTCCTCCCTGCCCCCCCCCCCCGGTCCTGCCTAGGACAACTGCATCCACTCAACCTCATCCAAGTTCATTCAGCTCAGCCAAATACTAGAGAAGAGCCCAGAAGCGTGTGAAGACTAGCCCATCCTCCAGGGTCTTCCCACCGCCATTAACATGCCACTCTGTGGAGTCCTTGGTAGTCTCTGAGCTTGGTTATTTTCTTGCAGACGTTTCATCAATGCGCTGATGATGTCCCCTAGTTGGGTCACGAGACGTCTGCAGGAAGCAATCTGGCTTAGAGACACCAAGGTCCCCACGATTCACTCCCGAGCTACAAACGTTCTCTTCAATTGACCCAGTCAACTCAGTCTGTCTGAAGCGAAGCAGCCACTCTCTCTTGAAGCCATCTTAGCTCTACGCAAATGGCCGTAATTGGCACAACGGATAAGCAGAGATTCTTCTGCCTGCTGGTCAGTTTAATGGGGAGAACTCACGTTCCAGCAAAAGACGAAGGGAAACCTCAGAATGAAACCAGAAGACCTCAGGGAGGCTTCCATGAATAGGGTAATTTGAACCCAGGGCTGGGGAACAATCGACAAGAGGCTGGTCAGGACTGAACCTTGGAAGACGAGTCGTCCAGTTGGGGTGTGAATGAAGGACAAAACCCAACGTTGCCTTCTAAGCCTGGATTTTGGGAAGCAGCAAGCCTGACACAGCTGGAACATTAAAGCACACACACACACACACACACACACACACACACACACCCCTCACACAATTCTGACAACTCAACCAGCAAAATGACGCACAATCGCCTGATAAGATGGAGGGGGTGATTGGGAGAGTTTTAAAGCTGCCTGGAACCACCGTTGCCTTCACTCTTCACCTCCCTTCACAAAAGCAAAATATCTTCAAGGGGCTCAAGAGATTATCCCAGCTTTGCCCGAGTAATCAGGGGCAATACTTGGAATAACTGAAGTCTCCCCCCCACCACCCCCAAATCCGCTCTGAAAATTAGAGGAGGAGGAGAAGGAGGAGAAGGAGAGGGGATGGGGAGACTCTTCCTCTTTGTTCTCCTCGCTCTGGGCTGCTTCTCTGGCTTGGAGGCCGAGGTCAACGGGCGGCCCACCAGGCAGAAGATGCTGAGCAGACCTTCCACCAACCATGAACTGCATCTCATTCCTGGCGAATTAACCTTCAAGGGAGCAGCCCTCCGATATTCAGTCTCCAAAGTCTTTCCTGAGCCCAGTTAACTGTGAAGGGAGAAGTGCCCCCCCCCCAAAGTGCCTAAGTTTAACAAAAGTTCT